TATTTCACGGTACATTGATTCACTTAATGTACCACGATCCCTCATCGTAACATTCGACGACGAGGTATCACCCCGGGGAGAGCCCGGGAGTGACACAGGTGGCTTGGAGTCGGATGTGTCGTCCGACTCACCAGAGTAGTCAACGACTAATTCTGGGTCAACATCTTCACGTGGCGAAGGGCCACGTGATCCTGCAACAGGCGTTGCAGGCTGATGTTGACTTCCAGCAGACACATTAGTGTCTGCTGGCTGAGGCTGTAAAGCCTCAGTAGCGGCTGCACACAGGCGTGCAGCCGAGTTCTTAGCTGCCTTAGCAGCGACGCGCATTGACTTGGTCATAGCGTGAGAATTGTTGGAATAATAGAAAACCCAACAAGTGCTCCTTTCCCATAGTCACTAAACAGTCACTAATGTGACTGTTGGTTGAGGGGGGGTGATGTAACGGGGTGAGCCCGTTACATAATATTGACACTTATATGAAGTGTCAATAAAAAATTATTATAACTGATAATATTTAACAATATTATCTTTCGTATAATATTGTTCCTAGATCTCCTTGAAGTTAGAGATGCCCTATCATTGGTTGATATGGGCCATCATATCAACCTCCGCGCTGACCAATGACCAATGGACGCGCGCAATGAGTGGAGGGCAAGTTGTCAACATACATAGTTGTAGTTTAATATAGGTACATAGGTTATCACAGATTAGTTTTATTAGACAGTTAATTATATTAAATACAGTTTTCTTTTCCTCTACTTCTAAGCGTATCGTTTAGAAGTAAAGCTTCCTCTGCCTCTTGTGTAAGAGAGGTTTTAAGGCACCTGCTTTCACTGTCATCAGTGAAGGTAGACTATACTGTTATCAGTATAGTCGGAGGGTGCCCCATTACAGCCAGTGAGAGTACGCCAACAATGAAATATTGATTTTTTATGCTACCAGCACGTTTAAAACAGCAAGCAAGGACACATGAGGGTTGAAGCTACATAAATTGCACATGGGCATTTGCCTTTCAAATTGCAAGCACTTTACAGGTTGATAGCTGCAAGACGAATCAATGCTCAACACCGCCATTGTAACGGGGTACTGAAACAATATATTTACTTACACTGACACAGTGTAAGCAGGTGCATCGAAACCTCACGTTCACTGAGGTTAGCAGAGGAAACTGCTACCTCAAAAGGACACGCTTAGAAGTAAGGAAAAAGAGAACTGTATATAATATAGTTACCTATCTAATGAATTTAAATTGGTAATAACCTTGTTAACTATAATACACTACAAACATGTATGTTGCCTTCTTGCCCTCCATTCATTGCGCGCGTTCATCCTTCACTGGCATTGCGTTGGCTGATATCATGGCCTATATCGGCCAGTGAGAAGGGCACTTCTTACGTCAAGGAGATGCGACGACAATAATATATCGAAAGGTAACAAATATGTCTAGCTAAGATACTCCTAGTGAATCTTATTAGCTAAGATAGTATTTTCATTGGCCATTAATGTTTGTGCCAATGTTATGAAACGAACTTACCCTGTTACAGCCATATGGCCTTAGATTGAGTGTGGTTTGAGCAATCGGTTTTAGAAACACGCTGATTTTTTCTAAAAAAATAAAAATCATGTCTCTACCTCTTGTCTCACTTGACAAGCAAGCGACTTTCACAAGACGTTATAATGTCGGCCATCTTTATTGATCCCAAGGATCTACCAGACGGTGGCTACGGCCTAATCCAAGTGTTGTTCCTGGGTGCTGTCTATGGCTTTGTGCTTTTCAACGCAAGCAACCTCATCTCGGACGGCAGTGAGCTGCTGCTGCTTGTGCCGTCCATGGCTGGCATTGTTGGTAGTATCGTACTGCCTGTGTTGGGTGCCGTGCCCGACGGTGCCATCGTACTGTTCTCCGGCATGGGACCGAATGCCCAGGAGCAGGTATCCGTAGGTGTGGGTGCTCTTGCAGGCTCTACCATTATGCTGCTTACTATTCCATGGGCGCTCAGCATCTACGCCGGCCGCGTCAACATTGACGACAACGGCCGCGGCAACTACATACGGCCCAAGGGCGATCAGCACTGGGCCAAGCTCATGCCGCCTGGAAACAAAAGTATGACCAGGACGGGCGTCGTACTGTTCGACGAGATCCCGTCCACGGCCAAAACCATGATCTTCACGAGCTTGATCTACTTAATCCTACAGGTGCCGGCCTTATTTTACACGGGCACGGCCGAGAAGGACGCTAAGGCTGATAACATCAAGGTCGCCAATATTGAGAAGCCATTCGCCATCATTGCCTTTGTGGTGTCCATGATTTCTTTTGTGCTGTACCTCTGCTGGAACGTTCAGCGCTCCTCGGAAGTTAAAGAAGACGTGATTGATGAGGTCCGTGTGGCTGCTATTCGTGACGGAGAGATCAGTCTGTCCGGTATTCTTGCCAAGGAAGTAGCCAACTTTAAGAAAGAGTCACCGACTAACACGACTCCTCTCAAAGCCACGCGCGAGCAGTTCGACCGTGTGGCTGATGTCATCCGTCCCTTCTTCCATGCCTACGACAAGAACCGTGACCATCGCATGGACGCTGATGAGCTGCAGATTTTCTTCAAGGACTTGGGCGAGAGCCTTTCCCGCGAAGAGGCTGAGACATGGATGGCGGCCGCTGACAAAGATAAGAGCGGATTTATCGAATTCAATGAGCTCGTGGAGGCTACTCTCCGCTATCTACTGGCCAAATACGAGAACGAATGTCACGGTCGATCGTCGGTCTCGATGCAGCGCGTCGTGGTGGAGCAAAAGCATTCCCTGGCTATCCCAGCCGCTGAAGGAGACGACGACGACGAGGAGGAGGAGGAAGTACCGGAAGATCTCGCTCACCTGTCCATTGCCGAGCAACAGCAGAAGATTAAGATCCGCTCGGCGTACATGATGTTCCTAGGTACGGCACTCGTGCTGGTGTTCTCGGACCCAATGGTCGATGTGCTGTCGGAAATTGGTGCACGCACTGGCATTCCCCCATTCTACGTGTCGTTCGTGGTAGCCCCGCTGGCTTCGAACGCTAGTGAGCTCATTGCTGCTTTCAACTACGCGCAGAAAAAGACATCCAAGACAATCTCCATTTCGGTGTCTGCTCTTCTTGGTGCTGCCTGCATGAACAACACCTTCTGTCTTGGCATCTTTGCAGCACTCATGTCATTCAAGAGTGGCGGTCTCGTCTGGGAGTTCTCTGCTGAGACGTTCGCGATTCTGCTAGTGGAGCTCTGCATCGGCTGCATCGCCATGAAAAAGACCCAGCGTCTGGTTGACGGTGTCATCGTGCTGTGTCTGTATCCGCTCTCTATCTTTCTCGTGTTTGTGCTGGAGAACGTGCTTGGTCTGGACTGACAAAACGTAGCTAACGAAGCGAGAAGGTACTCGAGGCAGGTGATGGCTGTTTCGTCCGACGTAGCTACTCTCTTGTCCAACGTGTATTGTCGCAATTGAAAATCAAAAGTTGCAAGAAGGTAGTAGGTGCCGAATCATGTTATAACTTTTGAAATATTCGTTTTCAATGTCAAATATTGTCGCGTCTATCCCATTGGAGAGGTGAATTGTGTAGACATCGTGTAAGTCGCACGTGGATTGTTGGGTTGTGACTGACTGACTTTCTGTTTGTATCGAACGAAAAGACGCCGGAGCGTCAACTCTTTCAACTTCTTCTTTTTTTCTTGAGCGACAATGACGGAGGTTTTTATGGGCTACAGTGAAGACTTTGAACAATGTCGTGATGACGCCATGGCCGATATCTGTGCCATTCCTAAGGCACGCGATCAGCGTGAACGTAACGACTTGTTGGAGCGTGCCCAGGGCAACATCTCGGAAGCTGAGCGCTACATGCGCATTCTAGAGAGCGAGTCGCGTGCTGGGGACTCACAGGACCGTCGACGGATGCATCAGCAGCTGCGGACATTTAAATCACAGCTGGATAAACTCAAGGCCAATCTAGAGCGCTCGAAGCTCATGGACGGTAGCCAACAGCGTCAACAAGCCAGTGCCCCACAGGACAATGTGGCTCGGTACCAGCAGCGCACAGACCGCATTGAGGACCATTTGACAGACGCCCAGGACATTATTGCACGGACGGAAGCCACAGCTCAGAACATAAACAACAATCTGGCGAACCAGCGCGAACAACTCATGAATGTTCGCACGAACGTACGATTTTTATTATGATAGAGAGGTTAAATATGAGACAAGATGGATGCTAATAGTTGGACGTTATGACATGATAATTAGGTCGATGCGACGCGTGAAGACACAGCAGAAGCTGGAATGCATTTGAAGAAACTCAAGTGCAAGATGGCATCGCAGCTTTTGTTCCTGTACTTCGTTATCTTGGGACTTGTTGTGGTGATCATTTGGCAAGTCATTTCCAAGTTTACTTAGGTTCATGAGTTGCCGACATAGCGTCAGTTTGTGCTTGTTATCACTCGCACGTGCAATGTGAGTATTTTTTGCAAGGTACAGCAGAACGAACGTGGCTGGTCGATCGACACCGATCACCGTGTACGACATCAGAGATTTTTTTCGTGTAACTAAGAACAAGGTGAATACGTTTTAATCTAGAAAAGTTTTGATATGCTGCAGAGCGTCCGATGGAGTGAATATGGTTTGATGTAGGTGGTGACGAGTTAGTGTGATGTTGCTTCGGTCTTCGTGCCCATATATTTCTAGTATGAGAGCTGAGCACCGACGATATTGTTGCTCGAAACCGTCGTGAGGTGATTAAGTTGACGGACGGATAAGAGTTGGCAGCTTATTCCTGTTGCCAACTTTACCACGGTCGTCGATAGATTGCGAAGAAGCCAGCACAACACTGTGCAATCGGGACAAACGGCTGCACTTGGCAGCATTCACTCGCCCATCCAGCCGACGCTTGTTGTTGTAGAGTGGTAGTAGCAATCAACGCTCACACAAAGTACCTATGACGATTGTCTTTACCACCTTATTAGTGAGTGTGTCCATTAAGGTGAAGCTAAACAAGGGCGAAATAGCTCAATTCGACGCGCAGAAACCGTAGGCTTAGACTTTAGATGAAACATGAAGAGCACAACGAAATGTGCAACGAGCAGTTGATCATTATTATATAGCAAACCTCTCTATCCTAAAACTGCCCAAGCAGCAGCTATTTTGGAGAACCATGGCGGCGCATGGAGGGTTGTCTTACTTCCCTCGTCATGTAGACTTGTAGTGAGTCAGTCGATACAACAGTACACGTCCCCTGGCATTACCAACTGCAAAATAGCCGCTGTTCGGACTGAAGTCCATTGCCGTCACATAGTGCAGCGGCGTGTGTGCCGTCGGCCAATTGGCAAAAACAGTTAAAGACGGCATGTGCACCAGCTTCAGCGAATTCTTGGTGTCCGTCGATGCCATGGCCAGAATTTCTGCGTTTGCGTTAAACACGAGGTGATCGACCTGAGTGGTAAGGTTCATCAGCGCTTTGCGCGGCTTTGGCTTAGCAGTTAGACCAGCGTTGTCGTAAATATTGACTATACCACTTTTCGAACCGGCGGCGTAGTACTTATCACTAGCAGCCAGGGCATAGTTGCCTAGACTACCTTCATCATCGTGGACAAATATACACCGCCGGGTACGCATATCCCACTTGTAAACCTGTCCGTCTGAACCTGTGCTCAGGAAATAGCGGTCGTTTTCGCAAAAGACTGCCGATGTGACACTTCCATTCATCTTGAGGGTACCGATCGACTGATACGACTTTGCAGACACCACATCCAAGTATCCATTGCTCCCCATGAACACAATCATCTCTCCGTCGTTCGAGACTACAAACGTATTGCGTTTCTTCTCCTTGCGCCCATAGAGTCCCGGGATCTTGGTAATCTTACCTGCTTCAATATCGTACGAGAAGAAGTACTGTCGAGGTCCAGTCATCACTGCACGCTGTCCACTCATCGTAAACTTAGCGTCCAACATGGGCAGATCCTGCACAAACACACTCTCAGCTTTTGCGTTATTGCTGCCATCCACCTGAAAAAGCCGCAGCGTCTTGTCCAATCCCGCAGTCAGTATCAACTGACCATTTGGATGGAATTGCACCGACTGGACTACCGCATTCGAAGGTGCATGTTGATTGGCATCTTTCATACGGACGACCTCCAATTCTCCCTGAGGTAGCAATTCCCCAGAAGATTCCAACATCTTTCCAGTGCTTCGAATGAGCTCTGCTTCTTCTTCATTGTCACTATCACAAGAGTCCGCCACCTGTGGTTGACCCAAGAACTTTCTCGGGTCTGCCCAAGACACGGCACCATGTGCCGATTGGTAGCTGTAATCATGACACCAAATAATGTTAAATGAATCGAGCGAGAGCAAGAGAATGTAGACGACTACTTGACGTACAAATTCTGAAGTCGACACTTCAATTCCTTGCCGTTTATTACTGTTTCCGTCTCTGTCTTGCGGAATTTGCGCAGCTGTGGTTGTTCTTCTAGATTCACCTCCACTTCCTCATCGTCCTCATCCACCCACGCAGCTTCAAGTTTGCGCGAATCTTTCTTCTGCTGGACATTTCCCTTGCGTTTCTTCTTTTTTGTATGTGTCTTGGGCTGGAAAACACTCTCGGCCAGTAGCTTTTCCGCTTCAGACACGGCCACAACAGGCGCACGCTTGCCCATACTTGGATAATACTAACGAGTCGATGATGGCCACCCAGTGATGAAAACGCTACCGGTATTTCGGTATTTTCGGTGCTACGAAATAGTCAGGTATTCGAGACTTACAATTGTACCACAAGGATGGAACAGCTTGAGAAGGACGGGGTGGGCGACATTATAAATGTATACTTTAATCAAGTGATAGGATGCCATACATCTGCTGTAGAGATGTTATGACCACCCTCATTATCGAAAACGGATCGTCCGACGCAAGTTCATTTTCGACACCCAAGTCTTTGTTCGTAAATATACTAGATTAGCCACAAGCTGTTTTGTGACGTTAACAAGTAGACAGTCTTTGCCAATTACAAAAAACATGACGTATACGACAGCAATCAGCACAAAGTCCACTGAAGTAGAGAAGCGCGTGAACTCAACACGATCAATCTGCAGCTCCCCATCGTCCATTTCGGACGTGGGTTTTAGCTGCAGCTCGACGGACCGAGTACCTTTAGCAAGCAACAAGGTGCGTTTATCGATTGGGTGTTATGGGTCTTTTGAAGCTGGATGAAACTAAGAAAGATTTTGGGTTTTTTGGGTTCTTTTGGGTTCTTTTGGGTTTTTTATTTTAGGTCGATACTACTACTAACAACGTGAAATCAGGTGATGAGCTTGAACAGCCTGAAGTTCAGGACGGTATGGATTCCCTGGCTTCAGGTTCCATTGATATTAATGACGCTCTTGCGCATCCTTTGAGCAGCTCCGAGTCGCTCAAGCGCAAATCTGTTGAAGATGTCGACGAAACACAGGATCAAGTGACCAAGAAGCTCAAGACAGAACAGTTGACACCTGCTGAAGCTGATAGTGACTATCTACCTACTGACATTGAGGAGGACGAAGAGGAGAACGTGTACAAGTCTTCTGTTTCTCATGATGACTGTACCGCTGTTGTTGGCTGTAGAAGTGTTGAAATGAATGCCGCTGCTGATGTTACATGTAGCAGTGAAACAACACGCCGTTACAGCCGTCGTACGCTCTACATCGAGTACTGGAGCCGGACCAATGAATGTAAGGAACGCAAATGGGATCATCTTGATGAAATTGCCGAGAATTATGGGTCAGCTGAGGAACACATTTTTGCTACGACTCTAAAGGATAGATCTGCGTTCCTAGAACCCAATATGTTTCCCTATAACACTCCTGCAGGCATCGAGCACTGGACGCTGTGGCATATCAAGGATCTGAATCATGACCAGGTGAAGCAGTACGTGGAGAGCTGGATTGATGCCAATGCGTCACATGTCGAGCGATGGAACTATGATGACAACCCGGAACGTTCCATTGATATTTTTCACGTGCACGTGTACTTTCAGGTGGCCGAAGGGCTCACGGTGCTGCATGACCGCAAGGTGGAGAATTTAATGCACGAATTCGACTGACTGGTTACGCTACTCATGTGCTGTAGAGTGTAGGTCGCTCGTTCGCGCGCGCGCTCCTTCACCCAACATCTACTATGTGTGTAAGTTACCCATTTGCTATGTGCTCTCGCGCCAGCCCGAGATCGTTATTTATGCTGTGATGGGCAGTCGACGTTTCCTAGCCGAGCTGAGCGTGGCAAAAAGGCAAGTGGTTTATTTTTATCTGCAGTTTCCATTGCATCTTCGTACAAATAAATTGCAATACACGTCAAACTTGAAATACCGCTGGCATAAAGTAGCTGTCAAAATTAAATGTGAAAATTAACTAAAGTCCGAGGTAAATGCCGCATGCACCAGCAAAATACTGTGATTTGGTCGATATTTTCACTGCCAAGTACTTAGTGTGTGAAACATAAAGACATTTCAATGATACCTTGTCGTAACAGATAGATTCCTCCAATACCACGGATATCACTTTAGGCAAGTGTTTATGTACCGGGTTTTATACCGGTACTCTTGCTTCGAAAAACATCAAGCAGCTCCATATTCCTAATTCGCTTCTGCTCTCCAGTCTTCTTCTCTTCTCTTCTCTTCCTCTCATCGTCTCGTCTCGTCTTTTCTCTTCCTCTCATCGTCTCGTCTCTCTTGTCGTTTTTCATCGTGTGCTATTTTTTTCGTCTTCTTCTTCTGTCTCTGTAGCACTGCAGGATGACATTTCAAAAAGGTGTCGTAACCTCAGTCGTGTACACGCTGAGCTTCCACATGGCCACTTTTGTCTTTGCCTGTCTACTCGCGACCATGTTTGCCTTTTCTTTGTCACTGTTGCTGCTTCTAGTGGGTTTTTTACTCGTTGGATCGTTACCAGCTGCTCGGAAATTCACGTGGTTTTTGTGGCGGACGGAGATGGCCCTTAACGCGCTCGTAGCGACTAAAAACGAGCTGGAACCAGTGCTAAGACGACGAAAATCAAGTATCACAAATCAACGTGTAGCTCATGACACTGCAGGGTCACAGCAACTGGAACAGGGACCTGTGATGGAGGAATTTACAGATGTCGTGATATGGCTGTCGCTGTTTTACTTTTTAGGGGTTAAATGGATCTTAGACTTGATTTTTAGTGCCGTGCCGTTGATACTGTGGATAGTGAGTATTGCTCAAGTGCTACCAAAAGATGTGGGGCTTTCGGATGTGAAGATTGTGTCGACGATGACGCTACCTGCTCAGGTGCTCATGGCTATGGCTTTCGCCTTTTTAGCACATCAAATAGGAGTGACCTCAGCACGAGGACTTGTGTTTGTATCGAAAAACGTGTCGCGAGTGGTTTTTTTGAGAAGTGAGAGTGAAGACATGAGAGTGCAAGTGACATTTCGATCTCCCATTGCGACACAGATGAAGAAGATGAGTTCGGGTGGAGATGGTGCTTCGAGTAGTTATGGGACAATGGATGGAAAACACTTGCATTCACGACAGGGAAATGATAGTGCGTCAAAGTCTACTCAGATGCCGTCAGCTAGAGCTTTGACTAGAAATTTGAAACAATTGCAGTCGTCGGAAGATGTTACATCTAGTTTCTCTAGCCTCACAACATCAACGGCTACCCCGGTGACAAGTGCTTCTGTATCACCTTCATTAATATCGGCTGAAACGGCAGTTCCTTCTTCTGTATCAGATCGTTTAAACTCTGCTTTTCTTATGTCGTCGAGTGAAGATTCTCGAAAGAGAGCGCCTATCCTTTCGTCTCGAGTGCGAAGCCGACCCAGCACTCTGGTGGATAACCGATTGCGCGCCGTTAGTGATAATTCTGATCAACCAGACAGGGCGAAGTATAATGAACGAGAGGATAAGCGATCAGTAGGTATTGCGCATGTATCCGAGAATGGCTCCACACACGACATTAGCGACGTTGAAGTTCTAGGTCGCTGCGACAGGATCACACGATCTTACGAGGATGATGACATGGCAACCATGCGAGTGTATGCACCACTCACTTATACGGATAGTCCCCCTCGGCACATCGGTCTAAACCCGAGTCCAATATATCGCGGTCCGTCAGAGCAAGTAGACTACGATAGCTTTTCGCCCATAAATTCCCCCAGCAGAAGTGGTGTCAGCGGTGACTCATTTGGAGACGACCATGACTACGACGTGTTGTCGCCGCAGAATAGCACTTACGACGCCGATATTCCAACTTACGATTTCAAGCAGATTTATCGCTCAATCCAAATGGCCGCAGAACCTGAGACTTACCACTCAGCGGCGACGGAAGAAGGTGGTATAGATGCGGTATCAGAATTCAGAGAAGTTTCTGGTCGTCGGGATCGCGTCAACTTTAGTGCTTTTGCCCCACCGAGTGTGTGCCCGTCGTCCAAACCGTTTCAATTTACTGTATGGGCTTTTCTTCTGAACCAGCAATTTGAAATGCAGGAGCTAGCTAAAAGCGACCATTTGGAGTCACGAAAGCTGTCGCTAGAAACAAAGCTTAATGTTCGTCGCGGTGCCCTTGTGCACGTGACGATCGAAGTACCAAATGGTTTTAAGGTGCTAAACGATGTAACACAGGGTTTTGCGTGGGAAGGTGAAATGTCAAACGTTTGCTACGACGTGGTTTGCACGGACGGTGCTGCATTTGGGCGTGTCTTGTTTAAAGCTCACATTATTGTCGGTTCTTCTGTCGCTGTGCTTAACGCGTTTGTTTTGGTTGGATCACGTGCATTGGATCCTAATGAGCTAGAAGCTGATGTGCTGGAGGGCTGGGTGGATGTGATGGAACAGACATACCGGGAGATTCCTTTCCATTCGCTGAAGATGAAGGAGCTTGTAGGTCAAGGTTACTTTGGTGACGCGTACCGCGCATCATTAGATGGCCAAGATGTGGTGGTGAAAACCATTCGCGCTAGTGAGTTCGGTGAAACTACCTGTCAAATCGTACGTGAGTTCCAGCACGAGGCCGCCATGTTGAACATGTTTGGTCACCACCCTTGCATTGTGCCATTTGTGGGTGCATCTACCGATACAAGTTTTCCGCTAGCGTTGGTGACAAAGTATCTACCATACGGCAGTCTGGAAGATAACTTGCGTGGCGATTCTTGCTTTTCTATCGATGAACGCACTGGAATGCTGAAGGACGCTGCTGCAGGTTTACTGAATATTCACGAAGGCGGCTTCATCCACCGTGATCTTGCCGCGCGGAACTGTCTCGTGGATCAAGGTAATCATGTACGCATTTGCGATTTTGGCCTTTGTCGCCAAAGTGTACGATCCGAGACGGTCGGGATGCTTATAAAAGACGCGGTAGGGCCTGTCAGGTACATGGCACCTGAGTCGCTTCGGCCACCTCACCCGTTTACGTATGATACGGACGTGTACATGTTCGGTGTATTAATGTGGGAGACGTATACAGGCTCAACACCTTTTCCGTCGCTGACTCCTGTCGAGGCCATGATGCACGTCCTACGAGGTGAACGACTTCCTATTCCAAAGGAGCTCCCAGAATCCCTCCGGACGCTTATGCAAAGCTGCTTCCTCGATTCGCCCGCTGAACGTCCGTCCATGCAGGAAGTGCTCACTGCGTTGAATGCTTCGTTAGTCTCGAGCCAACGCGCATCAGTAGCGATTGCTGCTAGAACCGCTACTGACACAGCTGCTGCCACAGCTACTGCCACTGCTGCAACCGCTACTGCCATGTCGAAGTCAGTCTCGTCATGGACAAACTTGCACAAGCAGCAAGATCGATCCATTTGGTTGGAAAAATGTAACAAGCCATAAAGACTGGAAGGCAGGGGAGCTGGATTTTTTTGTAACGGGGACGAAAGCGTATGATTGCGCAAAACATGCCTTGCACCACGTGCTAATTTCGTGGCAGCTCGGACGGACGTGCAAGATGAACTCTGCTGAATGTTACAGGTCTTTACAGTACTTCATGCGGGTCCGTCCTATTTATCGACGAGGTGGCGAATCACACCTTTTTCGTCCTAGTGTTGAACCAGCCAGCAAGATCCAGTAAGAGTTTGTCCTGTTCTCAAGTCCAGTGGGATGATGACATGTTTGCACGGCAGCAAAAAGAACTGGTGGTTTATTGCACTTCATATCATTATCACTACAGTACCAAGACAAAGTACAGGTGTGAACATTAGATGTGAATAAGGCTACGAATATTTTAATGTCATTTCTCGTAAAGGGTGAGCTGTATTGACTTCTGTTCGTCGTAAACTAGATCAGGCTAACCCAGACAAGTTTCACCTTCTCCGGGCAATCGCTGCAGTCACGGCACACAGGGTGAAAACACCAGCGATCGCAATCGTACTCCACTGGCTGACCGACAAATCATGTGCTAGTTTTTCGATGATGAACGAGTTCACCTTCGACCATACACCAGAGGCTGGTAGTTTATCCAAGTGCTTGATCATCAGCTCGCCTTCACCTTCCACTTCGTAACCCAAACGGCGATAGAAATTACGAACACCCACTCCTGCGATCACAGCCATCTTCTTGTGTCCGTGGGCGAGAGCAATCGCCTCCGCTTTCATCATGAGTTGTGTACCTAATCCCGTATGCTGCGCTGCTCCATCGTTCGTAAAAGTGCTGATTGCATGCTTCTTCGACTTACTAATTGCAGCCACAAGTTGTCCGTACACATGCAGCTCTCGAATCAATGCGGCACCTTCGAGTTCCGGAAAGACACCGCCACCTGCAGTTTTCGAAAGACGCAACCGAGCAAATCCACAAATTTTGGAGCGATCCGGAGTCTCAAAGCTGATAAAGAACTCGTTACCTTCGTTGGCCTCGTACTCTCGAACAATGCACTCCGCAGAGGCAATAGCGGCGTCGTCCGTCTTCACCTCACGGCACCGAATGCACTTGCACGGTGTACCTCGAGCAATCATCTTGTTGCAGATCACCTGACGCAGATTGGGCTCATCCATCCCGCCCAGAATGTACTGGCTCGGAATATCGCGAACCACACGGTTGAGACGAATCCACGGGTGCACCTCGGCTTTCACATCCATCAGCAAGTCCATCAGCTTATCGTCTGCGTAGGGTACGTAGCTGCCTTCATCGTACCACTTCTTAATCACAGTCCAAGGGGTTATCTCACATGGGTAAATCTTCCATTGATCTGCCTGCAGGTCCGGCGAGTGTAGGACGTAGTCAAACATAGCTCGGTCCTTTTCTGGGTCGCTTCCAGGTAAATTAGGCATCAAGTGGATGTCAGTCTTGTAACAACAGTCACGAAGTAATTTAAGCGCATGTATCGCATCAGCAGTAGTGCAGCCACGATTAATCTTCTTCAAGACAGCATCATCCGTGTGCTGGATGCCCAACTGAACACGCGTGCAGCCATAACGACGAAATCGGCGCAGTTCCTCGGGGGTGATACAATCCGGCCGCGTTTCCAACGTAATGCCGATAATCTTTACCGCCGCAGTTTCATTCTCGAGCTTTTCCTCATCCAGACTATGTCGTTCACGCTTCTCTCTTTCAAAAAACGTATTTGCTGCATAGAACAAGTCACGAATGAAGTTCTCCTGATACTCAATGGGATACGATGCCCACGTTCCTCCAAGCACCAACAACTCAATCTTATCAACTGGATGACCGTTCATCGCCAACGTCACACATCGGTCACAAAACTGCAACACCGGGTCAAAGTCGTTCCTGTTGGCACGCAGCACACTTGGTTCGTCGTGCAAGTAGCTTCTCGGCTGGTCCGGTTCATTTGGACAATAGTAGCAATTCCATTGACAGCTAAAACGTTGTTTCTTGCCACCTACTGCTGGATAGGGACTTGTAAGCACCGTGACAACCAAAACACCAGACTGACTCTTCTGTGCCTTCTTGATCAGTAATTTCTCCAGTGCCAAGCCACTTGGTACTACGCCCTTTTGTACCAATAGTCCCAACACAAATTTCATTTGAGATTTCTTTGGTAGACACTTGAATTTACGTCGAAGTAGCACAAAAGCTTTTTCCAAGTCACGAGCTGTTTGAGGATCAAGCGCGACTAAAAAATGAACCATTTCTTCAAATTTGGGCAATTCTTCCACAGGTACAAGCTTATCCCATAGAGAATAAATGTCTTCAAGTCCTGCGTTCTTCCAATGTGGATCTTGACTACGTTTGTATGTGTCTGGATCATTTACATCACCTGATCGAGTGGATACTGTAGGCATTTGAATGGATTCAATATCATTGACTGGCATCGACTGTATCGGTCCTAGAGAGCTGGCAATTACAGGAGAGGAAGAAGAGACAGTATCAATGAATATCAACGTGTTTGTAACGTTCGAAGTGCTTTCAGTCGTCGGTCCGAGAGGCTCCAAGTCTGTCATGGCGATATCTGGCATGTTTGGTTGATACAGGTGGTTGGTTGTCACGATATCCAAAAAAATGGACCAATTTGTTTAAACTGGATTGATACAATTTGGGTACAATTCTCATATGTAAAGAATTTAGAGCTCTAAATACCGGTATTGCTTTTGGATGTCTCCCTAACCGTTTGGAAACATGCTACTAAATTGTCGACACATTTTAACTGATTACAATAACGTTATCACTTATAAAAGTTACAATGATAACCCTCATGTGGATAGGTATTACGCCAATTATTGCAATAATAATTGCATACATTGTCATGTCCATGACAATAGGAATACGTTCTCATCTACTACGTGCTCTATTACTTCATCTCCTTGCTCTTTCTCAAGGAGTTCATCTCGTCTGGGTCTACGATCCTCATGTCGCATTTCAACTCTTACATTCAAGTCAAGAGAAAGGCAATTTAATTGAAACATTTCTCTCAGTACCAGCCTGGAATCCAATTATTTCACTTGAATCAGTCAATGGCAAACAATGGGACCGAATGAAGTGTCATTTTGTACAATTACTTAAAATTTTACAGCCCATTGCAAAATTAACGACCATTTTTACAACCCGGAGTCACGAATTATTGGAATCCACTACAATAATTGATGCCATTAAATTAAATGAATTATCCATTGCTTGTTTCTACGAGTGGATCTTTGAACGACCATTTCAGGCCCAAGAATTTGCCGTCATTTGTCAAGCGACTTGGGAGTGGAGAAAAGAATTGGCACTAAAAGGTGTTGCAGACAAAAGGATAAAAGAACGGACAGTCGAGTGGTGTTTAAACGAGATTCGGTGTACACCAAGATTATATGATTTATTTGGAGAGAAATGGACTGAACCCGAGTATTACTCGCTCATTTTGCAGCCATTTATCATCTCACCGGCAATCAATTTGACGGATATTGCAGTGGTGATTCAACAATGGATCAAGACTACACCTGTGACAGCGTCCATTACACCGGAAATCATACGGCAATGCATTTGCAGTGCTCATCCTTTCCTTGTTGTCGAGCGTTACTTTCCAAATGGTAACGCTGAGATTGGGATTGCTCCCAATACGCATGTTCTCATTCCGTTTGATGAGATGGCGGGTGATGCATATGTAGCTGGTGTTGATTTATCCTTTGGTGCTGGAACACGCGTGTGTGTGGGTCGTCATATGGCAATGAAAGCTATGATTGGACTGTTTACGGATTCTTTGACACGGTCGGACAAATTTCAGCCCAGACTAAACCATAAGTATTCGGGCCGCCACAACGATGGAAAGGAATCTGTGACAGAAACTCTGTACCAACTACAGCTTGGAGCACGAACGATTGGTGCCGCCGTTGTTGATCGACTTTCAGAGGCATGTGTTTCGTTGTGGAAAATGAAAAAATAGGCTTCGTAGTAGCAGTGTGCGCTGCACAAAGGTAGCTAACGAGATTGCAAGGTGGAACTATATGGCGTTTTTGTCCTTGTCTGTTTCGAGCAGGTGCTCAGGTAGGTTGTGTGAAGTGGCGTTCGTCGAACCAGTACTGATCTCTTTTGTTCAACGTGTACAGAATTGAAAGTCTCAGGGACTACATCGAGTGTTTGTGTTATCGTGCAATAAACAGCTTGGTATTTCTATCGCTCTTTCAAAGTATTTGATGATTACTTCTACGTCTTGTTGACTACAACACGATTCAACCGTTTCTACATTTGTCACGTGGGAATGGAGACACGTCACTCTCTTCAACCAAAGACGAAACGATCTGTATGTTTGCTTATCTCCAGAAGACACTATAGCAATCGGTCCATCTCTTCGACATTGGAACGTCCGTGAGATGTTCTGGCATGGTTGTCTCCACGTACTTGAACGGTACTTGCGTAGTAAAATGGTTGACGAGAACGTCCGCTACACGCTCATAAAAGACGGCTTCATTCGATAAAGCTTAGCGCTGCTGCAAAAGTTGCAAGGCTAACTCAATGTTGGTCCTAGCCATTTCATTGAACGACGGTGTTTTTGATACCGTGTCAAAGTTTCGAAGTGTGAAAGCAAAGCACTCGTCTCGTAACGAAGCAAAATTGACCTGATCAGCTGTTTGAAGAATGCTCGCGACATTGTCGACGCAAACCAAATGCTGAAGTTTCTCAGCACAATGTCGCTTGAGGCTTTCAATGCCGTACTGTTTAGCAAAAAAACACCATTTAGATTAGATGTTCTTCACAGACTTTTCATTCTTGCAACAAGGACACATACCCGGTCTGCGGCAACAAACACATCCTGGACACCTTCGTCCGCAACACTAAGCCGATCGGTATACACATATTCTAGCAAGGAAAGAAATGTCGCTCGGCTGACGTCAGAGATTTCCACTTCGGGAGCTGTGCTTTCCAACATCTAATAGAAATAAACAGGTTGGTCAAAAGCTGCTCGAACACTCTAACACTCCACGCAATATCTTGTGTCACTTGCCTCTCCAGAAAACATTGCTTTAAAGTAGTCACAGCGCACACATAGATTCTTGTGACCGAAAATCGGGGTTCCTTCAACTGCATGCACAATAGAGAAAGTAGACAGCAAACAATCTGTGTGAGTTCTTGATCCCATCTTATGCAGAATACATAACGACCAGCAAGTACCGAGGAAAGTCACGTCGCTCATTAGTCGGTTGTTGACAAGTGAGCGCAAGTGGGCGATCGCCGTGCCCTCTTCATCGGGTTCCTGGCTCTTAGTTTTCGCTTTCTTCTCTGGCAAATGGATCTGTTTGAATCTGACTGAGTCATCGTTTCCACCCAACACGACCAAGTTGCCATCATGAACGCATCCAGTAGGTGTACTGCTCTCAGGAGCCGCACCGGTGCAGGTAACAATTGCCCAGGTATATGTTTCTGCAAGTAAGCAAGTCGAGTCAGCTAGAATTATTTCAACGTCAAAATCAAATCGAGCTCGTACCAAGATCGAGCTCGTACACGTTCGGGTCTGACTTTCCACCAAATACAATCAAAGAATTGTGATGTAAAGCTACCAGAGGCTGATGACTGCCTTTCGGTGCCATTCCCTTTGTTTCAAGACTTGACCAAACGCTGGTCTCTAGGAAGTAAAGCAAAATCGTTAATGCTTCAAGTCGGTCACACTTCACAGTTCAACACCTTACCGAAGTTAAAAACGTGAACAGTGTCGAGGTAACCCAAATCGTGGTCATACCCTCCGAATAACAGGCAATTCTGTTTGTACACAATCATCGAAGCTCCCTCTCTAGTATCCCGACAGGTAAAGAATGTCAAAACCATTACTTCATCGGGTGAAAAAGCACCATGAACAACTACTTGCGACTGCCTTACCGAGGATATGGCACTTCTCCTGTGGCACGAATCAACGACCAAGAATTGGTTTCTAGCAAAGCAAGAAATGATGAAAGTTAGCAAGACGCGTGCGTGGATTACCAGCCTCATTTCATGCCACTTTACCCAAGTTAAACGAGTGCATGTCGTTCATTGGGCGACCGGTATCCGATCTGCCATATTCACTGGAGCTGCGACTCGACATGGAATCTCGGTCGTAATGACTGTCACTTCCACCAAAGATGTACATGACGTTTTCTAGCCATCCAACAGTGCTCAATTAGACCAATATGGCAGCATATTCCATCAGCCTCTAGCCAGCAACACTTACCATACACGACCGCGGCGTGACCATATCTCGGCGTAGGTTGTTGTCCAGCATTGACGAACACGTTGGTCCACGTATGCGTCACTGTATTTCACAACACACCAAGTCAGATTCAACCTCGAATCAAAATAAAGGAGTGCGACTTACAAAAGTTGTACGAGAAAAAGTCGTTCAAGCGTTTGTCACCATCATATCCACCAAAGACATAGAACGAGTTCTTGTGAACAATTGCAGAATGATTCTTGCGCTGACTAGGAGCTACACCGTTGGCCAAGACCGTGGACCACTCCTTTTGAGCAAAATTAAACTCGACAAAGTTGTTCGTTGGGCGAATGACCGAACTACTACGAGTCGGCACAGCAGGAAGATTACGCTCTAGAATTTCCATACAAACAACATGTTTAACGACAAAGAGCAGACGCGTATAACTGTTTTAACGTCTCACCTCCAAAAATGTAGAGCGATCCTTTGTATACGGCACAGGCATGACCAGAGCCAATAAGTGGCGCCTCTCTGGGGTTCACACAGGACACGGTCGTCCAAATCGATGGCTCAATAGTTCCTTCACTTGTCATTTTAATGACAATACTGAATCCAAAGTGGTTTACAAAGAGAAGAGAGAGAGAGAGAGAGAGAGAGAGAGAGAGAGAGAGAGAGAGAGTGAGTGAGTGAGTGATTGGCAAATTCTTATCGTCACTTTGTTACTGGTAAACATGAATGATAATGCCAACTGAGCCAGTAGCTACTGCATGTACGTTTATGGACTGCTGTGCTATGATTTACTAGACTCAGACCTTATTTTTGTCACCCGTTGGGGTATTTCTTCTACCAAATCAGTTGTAACTTTTGTTTCAATTGACTCTAAATCGTACCTTTGAAGTAGATAATTCGGTGTGAATCTTTTTTTAAGCTCTATATATATATATATATATGGTCCTCTCTCCTGCTTCATCCTCTCATTATACCCGTGTCATATGTGGAGGTCTACCATGGCCTGCAATACGTGGTGAACGTCTATTGCGTGCATTTCATATTGCTAATCCAAGTCAAGAAGAAGAAGAAGAAGAAGAAGATGCTTTTCCCTATAAACTCGAACTTTGTGTACCAACCGCCGGTCACTTGGCTTTAGTATTGGTCCAACGTACCCCGGGGGTACAATTGAACAATCCCCCGAATAGTCATACTACGACCCGAGCTTCTCCTCGTGTTGTATACGTTCTAGATGCGTTACCACATTCATATCCAAGACGAAAACCTCGTGAAGACAAGACACGGAAGAAAAATACTGCTCCAGGGGCACAAGTACCATCGCACCAAGTGGATGAGCTGGAACTGTTTCAAGAATTATTTGCACCTCATACACGAGCTGCAGGAGGTAAAGAAGACAGTGTCGTGATCAAGGCGCCGTTGCTCTGTGCTCGGTTTGATTGCCGCGTGGTTTCCATTCGATTCATTCGGAGTGCAGGAAATTTTTCGAACTCTTCAAAGCTCTGTAGAAATGAGAGCAAAGGGCTGAATGACTCTTTTGCGTCCGTGAATTCGTCAACGTCGTCATCGTCGTCGTCAATGGGTGCTTCATCATCTTCAAGGGTTGTTGGAGCTGCAGCTCCGTTGAGATGTATTGTTGCAAGAGAAGATGGGATGGCATTTTTGTGGGAGTGGCAGGCCGATTTGTTTCAATGGGTATTTCTGAACAAATTGTGCTTTCTAGAGAACCCGAATTTAAAGTGGACGCGACCAGTTATGGCATTTACGACATGTGATTTACCACTCGATAGCAAAACGTTGGGGTTGAGTGTTGACAAACGAGGTAACAGTGGAAACGAAATTGGTTCGAATGGTGCGGCAGAAATAGTCTGGTGGTCGACAGCAACTAAACACGAGCCCAAGCTAAAAATTCGACGACTGCGTCTTGAACGCACAACTGATGCACTGCGAGCTACTGATGTCGTGGTTGGAAGTGCATTTACTCCAAAGCCATTGTGCAATGATGTCGTCAAATTATTGAGCTCAAAACTAGGACTTTTTGCGATTTCCAGAACGCAGGGGATATTCTTTCGTAGCTCGGTGGCTTCACTTAAGACTGTAGCTATGAGTTGGCACAAGATTTTCTCGCTCGATGAAGCAAACACGATTCCAGAGATGTCACAGATTATGGTATGTATGCACAGCGTGACTGGCGAGATCGTGGTTCTACTTCGCGAGTCTGGTGAAATTTACCTCGTCACGCCTAAGCCTTTAACCACGTCTACTTCTTCCAGCTGTGATGCACGTGAAAACGGATCGTGTACGATGATTTTCGCTCGAAAGTTAACGACTTTGGCATGCTGGCAGCAATTTAGTAGTACAGCTCATGACGACGATAACCAGGCTCTTGATGTGCTAGATATTGCTGCACACCGCCACGTTTTTCTTGTGCTAACACGCAGTGTGCTTTACGTTTACACGCTGATTGCTGGTAAACTCCTTGAGACTGTAAGCTTGCCAGATGCAATTGCTAGGTCTTCTCAGCAACACGGATGCAAGTTTTGGACCATTTCTGGGAGTGCAAGCTCCGTAGGTTTATGGGCTCCGTGTGGGTTTTGGACAATCTGTCTGCCTCTAGCAAAGGTGGTTGCTGCCGCATTGCATCAACCGCAGTCTACGACACGAGACAACAGAAATGATTCGCCGACGGGAAATGACCCCGAGGCAGCGTTCCAGGCCGTGAAGGATTATGGCGTAGGCGACTTGCATTTAGAGGCGGTGCGTTACGCCCTCGACGTTTTGGAAAGAGTAACTCCTTCGGCGATGGACCCAACTCAAAGCCATCCCGAAGCTTGGGAAGCAATGTGGCACACTGTGTCAAGTCCGGCATTTCTCTTGGCGCTTCTCGATAATCGAGCTACATCTGACCACGTCATTCATGAGCTCGCGCAGCACGTATCCGCTATTTACAATACCGCAAGTGACATCCGTTTATATGGTCGATTGGACGGTCGAGGCTCTGCAAGTAACAATGATAACCACTTGCTTCGACTAACGCCTGCTAATCTTGAGTCGCTGCACCATCTCTCTAACTGGATCGTCTTGGCCAAGCGAAAGCTTGCGCGTCTGGAAACAAGCAGCAGTGATACCTTGAAGTCATCGCCTTCTGTATCGTCTCCTAGAGGTTCTGGCAGTATATATCAAGCAATGAGTGAGCTTACTGCTATACTCGCCAACGAAGATGATTTATCCATTGCACAGGACAGGCAAAGCAATCTTCAGCGGAAAGAGTCTGTGGTAGATCCAAAGGATGTGCACAACTTCCGACTTAGTCGAAAATTGCGCCCTATGAGCAGCTTGCGGTTTGCTGCTGGTTGTAGTACTAGCTCGGAACGGCAAGGGCGGCAGTGGCTTTTGCAGCTCGAATCTTTCCTCTTGGACGGCGTTGCTTTCAAGGACGAACGTCAATCGGGTGGTGCTTGTCGTGTGATCAGATCAGAGGCGACACCTAGTCATCGGCTGTTTCATAGCGAGCGAGTGCTGGCCGATTTCCGCCACGTCACAGCGTCTTCATTTTCAAAGCACATGTACCTGGAGTCTATGAGCCGCTTGTATCTATTGTATGAGCCTGAGTCCCTACTTCCGTTCATCCGATGCGTCGAGCGTTTCTGTCCTCGGCTATTCTCGCTGTCTGGGCATCAATCTTTGGCTCGATCACACGCTGAGCGGGCGCTGACACTTTTGCCTCCCTTGGGGGTTATCACGAACAAGGTTATTAAATCAATGGAGAGCAATGATGGACAGGCACCTAAGGCCTCTCTACTAGCGTACGTTGACCTTTTGAGTTACTGTGGTCACCACTCTGAAGCCTGCAGAGCGCTTTTACAATGCCACCTTTACGAAGAAAGCAAGCACAAATTCTTGTTGCTGCAAAAGGGCGCACAAGATGTACAACATTGTGGTGATGACGAGCAAGTAGAGAAAGATCAGGCCCGGGTTACCGCTTCGAATGCTGTCTACTTTCTGCTTCTGGAGTATTGCATGAACCATGGTAATTCGACGGAGCTGAATGCGTTGCTCATGCTGAAGCCAGCCAATGTGGACATGCTGCATGTACTTAAAGCACTCCGTACTGCTTTTTCTTGCTGCAAGAACCAACGACAACAGAAGGGCAATCGAGCTTGCGCCACCGGCATAACTGTTGGTGAATTGCGACCAGTGCTTGCTGCTCTGATGCAGCAGCGGCGCAGTGGGGTGGCGAAGTAACTGTTGGTGGGTCAAAATCGATGATTATCAATCCGATATGGAGTGAGCTATATGTTTCCTGTTTGTGGTAGTATACTATGTCGCCCTTTGGTGAAGAGGTTTCGGAGTCGGTTGATAGTTCCCGTAGCATTGTCCTCAACCAGCGTTGCATACATGTTCAAAACCAATAACAAACTCTTGCGGTCACCTTTGTTTGATCTGATAAAACAAGTAATCGATATGCAAGTGCGCGCAGTAATTCTGGTTTGCAAAAGGAGAACATGGATGTTCATTCGATCATCGTAAGTCAAGTTCCACTTGAAAGCAAATGACAACGGCATGTGACTCATCAGCTCCGTTCCATCACCACTCTAGGCCTGCAACTCCCAGAGCACAAGTGCCACCGATCGCTGCACCCACTGTGTTTTGGGAAATGCAGAATGTTCTGCATTTACCGCCACGGAAAACACCAGAGTTTCACGCTTACTGTTCGAGTACACCGGAAGCTGTCGAAGCTTATCTGTTTCCATAACCCCAGGAGCCCAACGAAGGTATAACACCGACAAGCTATTGCGGATTTCATTTGACGGCGCAAAGCCAGTGAAGTTCCAAGTAGCACCCTCAAGCAGAAGTCCACAAGCGGCAAAACCACCAGCTGATGAGCCCGATGGATCTTCCACATGGGCAAGTAGATGTAGTTCATCCAACGAGCATCCAAGATCCGCTGCAGCGTTTTGACGAGCGGCCGTCACGAAAGCCTCAGGCGAGAAGAATCCACCCAACCAGATGCCACTAGGCTTCTGCAGAATATCTGCCGGAGCAAGCTGTGCTAACTCCTTTAGCTGGCGCACGCGTCGAGAGAAGTCCGTAAGCCACTCACTCAAACTAAGCTCATTCGAGACGCGGTACAGTTGTTTCCATTGCTCAGGCACCTGCTCTCGGAAAAGCGTACGCATGGCTTCTCGAGTTTCATTTGAAGGCTTGGCCTTGTAAGCACATACCTGCTGCACTGTACGTAGTAAACCACCCACGGTGCCCAGATATTGTGCTCCAAGTTCCAGCTCACGGAACATGCAGCGATAGACGGGGTTGCCGAAGTGCACGGGATCCTGCGCAGCAGGCACAGAAAGTCCCTCCGCAGGGAACAGCTCGAGCCACACACCGACGCGTCGGTCTAGATCCTGCACCCACTTGGGGCGCACATCGTCGCCATCTGCAGCAGCAGTGCCCAGGACCATCTTGCTCTCTTCCCCTGCATCAGCAGTATCATCTCCGCCTTCACTTCCATAAAAGTCTTGCATTATCTGCAAATTACGCAGCATGCGCGTACCTTGGCTGATAAGCACCATTGTTTCCGCTGAGCGTGGAAGGCCCATCCATGAAGGTGGATTTGTGGTGGGAAGGGCAAGGATCCATTCCATGAACTGCGCCTTAGTTTTTCCCTGAGCGATCACTACTCCAGCATCATTGCCTTCACCAGGAGCAACAAGCTCAAAGGTATTCTCGTAGCTGGCTGCCGTGAAAACATGCGCCAAAAGCGTATCCATCAGCTCCTGGTCGAACGTGTTGTCCACGCGGCCACCGTACACGGACTCCTTCAGCGTAGTTCGGATCGCTGTCCATGGAATGTTGTCAGGAGCAACGTGGGCACGGCCACCGGCCACCGAGTCCATCCAGCGGTCGATCACATCGCAAGCGCCACGGAAGTCAGACTGACTGAACTCGTACGTTTTAGACCAGCCTATTGGTACGAAGCGCAGACGTTCATGCACTAGCGCATGGAACCACGCAAGCAGCAGGTACAACCGAGCACGTTCAGCCGGTGAGTGATTCATGCGCTCAGCTGCCACTGTATCAAGCGATCGCACCATACTTAACTTCATGCCACTGGGTGGCTCAAATACAAAGATGTCGCACATGCGGACGAGATTCACCGGCAAGTTGGGGTTGATCTCGCTTGTCAAGAACAGGCGAAAGTTCGGGTGAACACTCTCGCGAGCGTTATAGAGCTTCTTCTCCACACTTACAAGCCATGACGGGCACAAATGTACATTGCGAAGTAACAGCCAGGAGCCGTGCTTCAATGCCGTATTCAGACCCTTTTCTGCCGCATCGAAACCCTCGGATGAACCCATGGACACGGAATTGTACTTCTTCTGCTGGGCAGCAGCAAGGTCGTCAATCTGCGCACTTGGGTCGAACCCCGTCGTTGAGCACAAAAGCACGCCACGTGCTGCCTTAGTATCTTCTTCTACGTTCTTAGAGAGTTCGATCTCACCACGCCATGGAAATGACGCCGTGAACACTAGGTCGATGTATCGCTCTGATGCAAACATAATCCGATCGGGCCGTAAGAAGTGGATAACAATCATGTTTCTGAACGCGGCCAGACGAGGACTTGCCAAAGCTGCAGCGTACTGCGTGTCCCAATCAGCTGGAAGAGCCTCCTCAGCCGATGGGGTCCTGATAAAGGTATTCCATTCAGCAGCATGCTCACGTATGTGCGTCTCCAAGTGCTTAAATGTCGGCAACTTTATCATTTTCAACAACTGGTCAATGTCAGTCTTCGAAAAGGCTGGCAGCAATTGCTCGAGCTCGCTCCGCTGTTCGGCGTTGCTATCACCTTTGAAGAAAGTTAATGAGTTTCCAAGCAGCATGTCCACATCCTCATCAGTAGGCCCATCAAACCCAGCACTATCATCCATAGTAGCCTTAACTTCAGCGACTACTCCACTTTGCTGCTCGAGCTCCAAGTAAATTTGTGACAGACGGAGTGCAAACATCAGCTTGTCATTTTCAGCAAGACCTCTGCTCACGAGTCTAGCAAGCTGTACGAAAAGCTCAGTAGAAATACTAGCAAGGCGTGCCGATTCTCCTCCTTCAGTCGGCTGAGACAATACCTTGGACAACAGTGACAAGAAAAAGTCGAGCGAGTACTGATACAGGAAGTGGACCGACGACAAGTTCTCCAGTGCAAAGAACAATTGTGAGCTTGCCTTTGCAAGTGGACGGTAGCGGCTTGTTGCTGCCTCTACGATTGCCATCGTCGATTCCGTTTCTGCCACTTGCTGCGAGATCTGGGCAGCCTCTGCTTTCATACTCTCCAAAGCATTGATGACACGATCGTCGTCTAGAATGTTGCCCTGAACATTATTAATTTGCTGCAACAAAGAATCCTCCAATTCGCGCAGCTTTGCTTGGTATTCACCCTGCAATTTCAGAAGATTATTGCGCTTTTTCTCTGCTTCGGGCTGTTCACTCTTGAGAAGGATGCTCAGTCCCTGACTTTCCAAGGAGCTCGGAGTGACTGTGAAATTGACAAAAGTCACACGACTGCAAATATCGGGTGAGAAACGGCACGATGGATCTCGTGTAATTAAGAAAAGTCGAAAGTCCGGTGAGTAATCAATTTCCTCTCCTGCGAGGCGAATTAAAACGCGACCACCCGTTTTGTAGAGTTCTCGGTTCAACACAGGATTCAATATTGGATCGATGTTTTCCACCTCGTGAACCAAAAGGGCAGTGCCAAAGCGAATAGCACTGGCCAGCACCTTCATGAACGAGCTGTCCAGGAACGAAGTCTGCGCAATTTTTGTGTTTGTCTTGAGACTATAGTACTTCATGATAAAATTGTTCGCTTGTCCAGATGGATCAATAATCAGCGGGAAGCGGTGGAAGCGCTGCAGAATGATAGCGTTCTCATAGCACAACTCATCCGAGGGCAAGTCGCTCATCTGCCACTCCAACTGCTCGTTTGGACGCGACAGATAATCTACAAAGCTCAACTGCGGTTTCGTACTGATGCCCATCAATTCCAAAATGTCGCGCCAATCCTGAATCAAGATTTTTCTCTGCTGGAAATCAAGGAAACCGATATATGTGAGGAAAGCAGAGGATAATAATGTGTCCCCTACAAGCGTCTTCATCTGGGTTCCAAAGTCGTTGGAGCCAGCCTCCCATCGCTCACTCTCTTGCAGCAGACTCTTCAGCAGTGCAACGGAACGCTCCACCTTCTTGGACACGGACGTCATGTCGTTTGTGATCATTTGCGCCTCGTTAATCAATGCCGCATATTCGTGCTTGAAGTTTTCGATCCGAATCTCAAGCGCATCGATGGTCGTTTTGGCCTGCTCGTATCTCGCACGTAGATCAGATGACGTGTCGATCAGAGTCTGCACCTCGTCTCGTAACGGTTGGATCTTATGCAGGATGTTTGTGTAACTAAGCTGTGAGACAACCCACTTGTACAACGGGCCACACGCCTTTGATGCACGATTGACCTTTTCATAATCGAACTCGTCAGTCTTGTCGACGTAATTGACTTGAATGGTGTGTCTCTGCCGAGCCGTCAGCTTCTCGGAGTCAAAGTTTACAACCTGCGAAATGAAGTCGTCTTTTCGGATGAAGCGACGTAAGTCAGCCCATTCCAGACTCGACTCACCAAGCATCACTGCAACTGCCTCCATGGTCATTCGGACGGCAGCAGGAGGCCGTGCCAGTGCACGAATTTCATCGAGCTGTGCCTTACGAATCGAGTTCACAGACGCTTGGGCATCTAAAAGCGCAGGTTCAGCTTGAGCAAGATCGGCCTCGACAACCTTTTTCCGCGAGCGTATCTGTTCGTCCTTGCTTGCAAGATCAACAGCAAGTGCCTCTGTAACTTTCTTTTTTTCTTGTGCCTCATTTTGCTCCTGCACCATTTGCTGGAGCTTTTCGTTTGCTTCCACATCTTTTTTCTTGAGCTCCTTCTCTTTAAGGCTGAGCTGACCTTGTAGCTCCGCCACTTGCTCGCGAGTAGCCTGCAGTTTCTGAACGCCAACATTCAAGTGAAGTTGCTGATCTTCCACCTGGGCACGCTTTTCGGAATATAGCGACACAAAGTGGCAAATGAATTCCAGATAGTCTCGAGGGGATATGTGATTGTATTTCATATGACGTTTTTGAAGACGACGCATGTGTAGCAGGACAGCGTGGTGAAACTGAACGATACTTCCGACCAGTACATCATGGAACGTTCCTGTAGCAATATGTGGAACCAGTTTCGCCAAGACTTCCGCAGCATCATCAAGAATGACGTAGTCAGTAGACCCAGCAAGGTCTAGTGTGTTTGTAAACTCGTACGCCACCTGTGCTAGCGCGTGATCGTTCCATGTACCAAACCAATCCACTACGCACCGATTAAAGAGAGCGGGGGATGTATTAGTACGGTTTTGAAAGTCGCCCGAAGCTGGATTCATTGTGAATACCACGTGCAGATTACGCTGCACTTGTTTGGTAAAGTACCGAAACAACTCGTCCTCGGTATTTTCCACAATCACCCCATCCCGTTGCACAGCTTCACGGCAAGCATGCATGAGTGACGTGTATTCATCATCTTCGAACAGACCTGGCACTTCACCAGAAGCCAGTAAAGCATTCATACGCTCCAAGAAAGCGGAATCAAGCACATTTGACTCGTCAAAGATGAAGCAAATCTTTTCAGCTTCGCAACCACATCTCTTAAGTACAACGCGAAGGTCATCGTCAAAGTTATCTAGAGTATAATTTGACGTTAGCTTGATCTGAAACACAGACATGCCGTTCATCCAGCTAACAAAGCGAGAAAGAACGGTCTTGCCTGCGCCACTTTCACCAACAAGCAACAAGTGGCCGAGCGGTTGACGAAGAACGCGATCAATGCGAAGAACATGGTCGATCACAGAATCAAAAACCACCAGCTGAACGTTTAGTTCTTCCTCGTAGAAGACGCGCAAGCGGGCTTCAACATGTTTACGGAGATCAGTCGTCGTGACTTCCGTGTAGTTCTTTGAGAGCCATGTACTGAACAAAATTGGGTGTTGACCTCCATATTCCACCACCTCTAAAGCTGTAGCACTCTGAGGGAAATGGTTTCTCAGAGTCTCCTTTACCATGTGGAAACACCACTTTTGCTCTTCAGATGTCACTAAACGATCCATGAAAAGTCGTAGTGCCTCATGAAAGACCAGTTTGACCAGCGTTTCGATGTCTATTTCGTATTCCAATGGTTCAATGGCTTCGTATAGCGCACGCATCCATCTCGACAGCTCTCGGGGACTGTAGACGTAATGTGGTTGCATCTCCGCCGTGTATTTCTTCTGGTTGCTATCGTACACGTCAACCATCGCATCAGTAAGCGGTTGCACATACGATCGAAGCGATGGGGTAAGCTTTAGCAAAGCACGGTTGAATGTTCCATAAATCTGCTTGAGTGAAGGATAGGACGGAAAATCAACCAACAGAATAGGCGCATGGCGCATTAAACGCAGTGAAATTGGCACACGACCAGGATCTGTTGGTGGGTTGCAAGCACCAACAAACTGAATACGCTCCAACCGGACCCATGTGTTCTTACCACCTAACCAAAAGCCACCTTGCTCAATTAATTGCCTCAAGAACGTGATCACGCGTTGTGTTCCGTATATGTCAGCCTCAGGAAGATTGATTTCATCACAAAATACAACCAGCCATTTTTCTGGTGCATTCGGTGTCAGCAACATTCCATTGGGAGTACGTTTGTACTCACAGTACTGAGAGAATGTCTTCAAAATAAGCTCAGGTAAAGTTCCAGACGAGAAATTGAGGCTTGCAAACTCGAACTCGGGAAGTGAGTTGATGGTCGAGGACAGAGTCATCGTCTTACCACTGCCAGGGGGGCCACAAAGAATGAGCGGCCGATGTTGCGAGAGCCACCCTCGTAGTACTTCGACATGACGAATCGTATCCACCGTAGTTACAACAACATCCGTCGACAGCACCTGGTGACTCTCAAGATCCAATTGTGGAATTGATCGTAACCACTGGCGCCATTCACCATCATCGATATTAACTTCGTACTCGAGCAGAGTGTTGCCCGGTGACCCGGACAAAGGAAACTCCAAGCGATTTTCGAGCGTTTGCACAACAAATTCGCAGAGGTCGATGCGATAGACAGAGTCCATCGAGCCACCGAAACCCCAAAGAATCGAAAATACAAACCACTTCGGTACAAAGCGGGACATCAGTTCAGCTGTCATCGGAAAATCAGAATGACCTTCGTTGTACTCGTTGATGCGAGACAACCCCCTTCCGAGCAACGTAAACATCGACATTAGCAAACGCAGCGCCGTGGCTTCCATGATGTGCGTTTGACCCAACGCATGCTCTAAACAAACCTCGATCAATGAGGGCATGTCACTTCCACGATCAATCAGATTTCGGAGGGTAACAACGTAGGTATGAGCAGTCTTTTTTGCCAGCTCACTTTCGCTAGGCTGCAGAGAGAATGATGATACGACAGACACGTCATCCCGCATCTTTAGCAGATAGTGCTCGACGATGTGGCATGTCTTGACCGTATCATGCGAAAACCAAACCATGCCACAACGACTGACAGTAGCCAGTGTTGCGTAACGCAGCGTCTCCGTTTCCATCATGATCCACACATTCGGTGGAATCTCAAGACGTTCTCCAGACGGAAGCGTCAGCAATCGGTTATCGTCTAGCACAGAGTTCAAGTTCTCAGCCCATTCGGGATCTACGTCACCGTCAAAAATGATCCAGTGTCGCTTTTCACTTTCGCCTCGTACGCTATTAAGCACCTGACGGAGCAAATGCGTGAACACACCGTCCGTCCACTCCAGCGTCGTGTTATCAAGAACACCGTAGAGATGCTCCTTTGAAAGAGCCTTCGGGTCAATTACGTATGCTTCGCCTCTTACACCATCAATAAATTCCATGGCATCCATCAGAATGCGCCATGCACTCGATTTTCCTGTCCCCGACGCACCAACAAGCATCACACCGTGGCGTAGTTGCATAACCTGGTACAGTTGCAGAGCCTTTTCGACCCATTGCTCATTTGCAACGTAATTGGCTTTCGTTGCTAGTTCTACGATCTTTGCACGAAGATTGTCGTCTTCAATGCGGTGGGCCTCCGTGCCTGGAAATACCCCCTTCAATAGCGTTTCAAACACAGGCACATCGTTTGAAACTAACTTGGGCAAAATTGTATCAGTAATGGAGCCAATCAGTGCCTTCGTTTCCAGCTCCTCAATGTTTGCTGATGCCGAGCTATCTTGTGCTTGGGTGATCTTTCGCTTGAGCTGACCAGCGCTCACAAGAACACTCTTCAATGCGCGAAGTCCGAAATCGTAGTGAGGCTGCTTCGAAAGTTGGTCTCCACAAAGGTTGAACAAAAGCACAACCTTTGCAGAAATTTGCTCAGCTGTGGTAATACCTTGGGAGAATAGCATCACCTGCGCGATCAACTCGCGATCAGGAGCAACCATTGCAATGCTCCGGAAAAGTTGCTTTAAGTTATCCGGTAGATTCGATCGCCCAGCGTAGCCTGGGTTCATCGTCACAAAAATACCCACATCCGGATTCAGCTTCACACTCTTACCGAGCAACTCGATGGTAGCATTGGGACTTCTGGCACTCGTTACTATCTGCGAGGTACCAGAAGCCTTCTTGACCATCAATGATGACACTCCACTTTGAATTGCCAAAATTTGCTGGGAGACGGCAGAAAGCACACGCTCTTCGAGGCGGTTGAACTCGTCAAAACAACCCCAAGCGCCAACTTGGCACAGGCCCACAAAAATGCGCCCCATCGCTTGAAAATCGAAGTGCTCATCACAGTTGAAGACCAGCACAAAACGGCCAAGATGCGATCCCAAGGCTTTAACCGACTCTGTTTTGCCCGTGCCCGCAGGACCGAATGGGTTTCCACCCATTCCGAAGTCCAACGCCTGAGTCAGTGTGAGGTAGCAACGTTCTGTAAGAGGAGTTTGCACAAGCCTCTCTCCAACACCAAAGTACTCAAATCCATAAGAAAAGCTTGCGTTTGAAATCTGGATGGTAAGCTTCTTGAGTGGATTCAATTCCTTAGCTTGAAAGTAATGGCGCATGTGATACAGCCAGCGAAAATCCTCTGCGCTGCTAACCTTGGCCTGACTCAAGCGTTTGGTTACACTTTTCTGATGCACAAGTTCAGTAATTAGCTGTTCATACTTTTTCCGGACATCGTTCTTCACATCCGTAAGAACGCGCTCACTCAAAATGAGTAGCAACCTATCCAACTGCTCCACGACCATCGACAGCGTATCACCACCGGTCTTCAAGACGCTTTCGACATCGTTCGACCACTGCACTTGGGTAGCAAGAATGACCACCTGAGCCGGGAACTCTGACACCCACTTCAGATACGAATCGGCACTTTCTTCTGTCGGACAGGAATGTACAGCTTCCTCCAAAAGTAGCGATAGTGTTTTACGCATCTGTTCCTCTACCTTACCTAGCCAAACATTAATGCGGGTATCTTCGGCTGTCTTAACGGGTTCCTTAAACCGCACGACCTCACCTTCACGTGAAGCCATTCCAACAATAACGCTAGTACTGCTGTCCATTTCAAGTGAAGATATTCCAGCAAACATCTTTGACAGGTGACGCTGAATCTGCATCGGCTCCTTACTGTTGCCAATCATCTCCAGCAAGTCTTCATCACCCACAAAGTAGAAGCGAGGAAAAGCAGCTCGTTGGCGCTCCAAATATTCACCGAGGGCGCGTTGGACGTTACCCATCATGTCTTGCTGACGCTCAAGCGAATGATACAAATTTGGAATGTTGGCAACATCAACTATCATTGGTTTGTGTGCAACACGCTTCATTGTCGAAGTGAACTCGTTGTCAACGCTTTGAAATCGCGCAAACTCCTTCGGCAATTGTTGTTTAATATCTGCCGACCCGAAAAAGATGCCTTCGAGGTACACCCATCGTCTTTGGACATCAATCCAGAAGTCCAGAATACTACGAATCTTAGTTAGTTTGTCTTCCCAGCTGGTAGCTAGCTCAGTAAATACGCGATAGTACGGCGACTGCTTCATACTGCTTAAACTGTTGAGGTGCTCATCAAGCTTGGCAAACACCTCGTCCCAACCACGAATGACTCGACATCGATTTTGGTAATTGACCAAGTCCAGCTGATAGTTGGTCCAGTAGTCCGACACTTGGCGTAAGAACTCATCAAGTGCCATTTCACCTTGAGCCGTACGAATGATCGTCTTTAGCTCGTTATCATTGGCAGATAGCTTCGATTCCCAGAAACTGCGCAAGGTCAGCTCTGTGAACGGAGATGAAATATTTAGCAGTTGTAGGATCTGTTTCCAGTGGCGGTCACGAACAGCATCCGATTTCAATTCCGACAGCAAGGAATTCATAGACTTATGAGACTGGATAATAGATGCGTAATGCTCAAAGGCTTCATACTGTTGCACCCGAGAAGGGAAGCGGCGCATTTCATCAACAATTTCATCGAGCTGCTTCCGCACTTTGCGGGGGTGGACTGCAGACCACAGCGTGTCTTGCAGCTCGTCAACACGGGCCCAGACCTTTGATATGCTTTTCCAGACCTCATCCAACCCAGATAACTCCTCCATGGCTCTTGAAAGATCACCGGACGAGCTGCGGTTATCGACAACTGATGAGCCTCCCATTCCCGATACATGGGAAATGTTCAAAGCGTCCAGCGCAGCATTTGTTTTGTCTTGTTCAGCATGCAACAGCTTGAAACGAGTGTCATAGATGATTAGTAATTCTGTGGCCGCCTTAGCCGATTGATCGCCTTGCAACGGCTTTGTGTCGTCCCACTCAGCCACAGCCTTTGTAATCTTACTGTCCAATGCGCTCTTCTCTTCCATGATCTTCGCCTGCAGTTGGGGGAGTTGACTTTCCATCGCAGCAGTCTTGCGCTCAAGCAACTGAATAAAAGCTTCCCACTCTCCTTCCACATTTGCAAGCGACGGCCAATCTGCTGAGAACCGGTATCGCTGTTTTTTAAGCAAGCGCTCTCCCTGTTCGAATGACTCTACAGCTTCTTCCCACCGAAAGCGCATCTGACGCATCTCTTGGATTAACGTGATCGCAGCAACAACTTGCGCGGTGGCTGCTTCGAGTGCATGCTGTTCCAGAAGCGTCCGCTTTGATGAGATTGTTGAATAGAACGAGTTAATCTGGTCACGAAGAAGATCACCGAAGTACGCAAGGAACTCGTTGTGCCAAGCGTCATATTTCACGTTCACCTGGGCTTGCACTTGTTGGTAGTTAATTACCACGGGACCGAATCGCTTCGTGTTAAAGACAGCATCAAATCCATTACGCTCATTCTTTATCGCAACCAGAATTTGCTGCCATTTTCGAAGGTCCTCTCCAACACTGTTCAAGGCAGTCTGGGCGTCCATATCCCATAATGCTTGGTACTGAAGCCATGTTGACGCATATTTCTCCACATCACATACAGTTACATCCAGTACACTGTATGCTTGAACTAAAAGATCTAAAGGCACTTGCTTCAGCACTTCCTTGAACACACGCTCTCTTCGTCTAGAGCTGGCGCTTTTGAGGGTCGATGACGATAGGCCTGACACCGTCGACTTTCCATACACATTTTCGTACGATGACGTTTGAATCTTCGGCAGGTTGCACGCAGAGTTCAGCAAGATTTGAAGCTGAGCCAGCCAATCCCGTCGAGCATCACCAACTGAAGGCTCCAAATACAGCACTTGGTTCTTTAGCAGAATCTGATGAGTCGATACGGTAAGCCCGGCCTCGACAAGAGCAGCTTGGAACAATTTTTCATCAGGCTGAGGGCCAAAGCAATCAACCCATCGCTGTAACAGCACCTCGAGCTTCTTGCCCAAAATTGTACTGATCAAACCGTTCAAATTCTTCACAAACACATGCAAATTCGCATATCCGGCCAAGCTCAGCTCGTCAACATGCGCTTGCACTTTCACTAAAACCGCATGGACTGCTTCAGCCTCGAAGTCTGAACTAGCACGAATAGTTTCCAGCAGAGTGTCAATAGCATTGGTCTTATCCAGCAAGTCATCCACCTTGTCGTGCAAGCGCTCTACTTTGGTTGCAAGGTCAGTAACATATTCGCCCAGTCCATCTGCGTGCCATCTCATTTCATTGCCCTTCAAAAATGTTTTTCCGATGGTAGCACGGACGTCACGAACATATGCTGCCGTCAAAGCTTCAAAAATCGGCTGAATACGTCGGCATGAGCTCGTATATGTCTTGAGGCTGGCGTCCAGGGACATTGCAAACGGGTATTTTGATTTTGCGTCTTCCGCAATCATTTTAAGCGTGAAAGGAACTCGGCAGCCCAACCACTCCAGGTTACGCACTTCCTTGAACAACGTCACGATTTGCTGGTTGAACGCTACTACCAACTTCTTCGTTTCCCCTTGTGACGTGTTCTCCGTGACAATGTTCAGAATAATATTTTTGATGTCAAAAATCGGCATTGACGCCAAATCATTCACCCATTGATCGAAGATAAGCTGGGGATTGAGTTTTACAATAAATGCCTTGGTCGCTGCTTTAAGCGCCTTGCCTTCCATGTGTTGTTCCCACCCAACACCGAGAACGCTTTCAACTCGTGACAGTAGCATTTTCAGCTTGCGCTCGATTTGTTTCGCCCACATCACAGCACCGGCAATAGGAGGAATGTCACGCAGTTTGCTGGTGCGTGACGCCTCTGAGTAGGCATAGTGAGCACGAAACTTTGCCTGTAGATTGCTCACGTCCTCTTTGACATTTTCAATCAGCTGCATTTGAAATTGCTGAACTGCACTGCGAATACGAGGACGGAAGAACAGCGCGTTGTACTTGGAGAACACGCGGAACATCTCATCAGCATTTGACGTAGCACTCAACCGGCTGGTAAGGCTGCTGATAATACGACCTTCGACGCGATCGATGCACAGATCGTAGGCCTTGCGCAAGTTCTTCCACGCAGTCACACCTTCGCCAGAAACATCAAGAGGATTGAGCGAGTTTAATTGCGAGTAGGCAGCATTAATTTCAGTAAATGCGTCGGTAAAGCCATCACCTCCGCGTGACACGTCGAGTTCAATAGAGTTGGGACCACCTAGCACTCTCCGAATCACATCACACAGCTTTTCGTGCTGCTCTCGGAACTCGTACAATTCGAGCAATCGCTCTTCAATGGCGGCGTGCTCCATCTGTAGCTCAGAGAGCAATGGTAACTTTTCAATATTAATTGATCCACCTCGTCGTTTAAACAGCTCCTTCGTAAGATCATAGAGTGTAGCAACCTGGCGATGCCAATTCGTAAAAAGCTCCTTGCACGAAGAAATAAGCTGTTCGAACTGGTTAAAGGGGACTTGAATGAGGCTGTACACGCGAAGCAAACTGAGAACCTGCTGAGTTAGGTCACTAGACATGACTTCCACTAAACGCAGGAGCCGCGACAGATTGTAAGAATCAGCCACACGTATTTTCTTCAAGTGGGTAAAGACAAGGGTTACCCCTTGGTTAAGCTGGTTGATATCCGTGGCGGACAGTATCGAGTTCATCGGAAACTCTTTCATCAGCGTCATTACGCTGGATACGTACTGAATGGCTGGGCCAAGACCATGATCAGCACTAAATGTGACGGTGGCCAGATACCGCTTAGCTCGCTGTAGCACCGCAAGCGTAATTTCGACCTCTGGCGACTCAAGTTTCTTCTGGACAGCAAGCAGGGCACGATTTAGATCGCACCAAAAGTTAATCTCCTGCATTGTCGTTCCAGGAAGTGGTTCATGAATTAAACGTGTCACTTTCTGAATCTCTTTAATCCACTTGCTAACTCCTCCCTGAATCGTGTTTACAAAGACAACATCGTCCACTTTTTCCTCAAGGCCTAATGCTTCCACATCAATCGGCACCCCTTTCTCACGAACGAGATCGGCAGCTTGTTGAATCATGGAATGGAAGATAAAATTCACCTCGGGGATCTCAATATTTTGCTGATACTGAAGCAATGCCAGCTCTAGCTCCTTCATCCTGCGTCGAATAGCAGGCAATCCTCTTGTGCCTTCACTCATAGTAGTCATCTCACTCTGTGGCTGGTGTACTTTAGAGTACTCATTAACCAATGGAGTGAGTGATTGATGGACATAATTGTACACAACAGAGAGCAGATTGCCGCGATCTTCGTCCTCTTCCTCTGTGTTTTCCCCACTGCTGTTGGTCGTATCCAAGCTCGTCTTGGAGCCAAGACCGAGTGTCATGACCTGTAGCTGATGATTGAATGTCTGATCTTTAGTCAATGGCGCACTGAAGCGTTTAATAAAGCAAACAACGTCATGTCCGCTCTTCTTACTGGGCGCGTACTCGATGCCCAAGTTTACACGCACGCGATTGGTCGATCCGTCCATAGAATCGTCTTCATTACCACATACAGGAAAGCAGTGTACCTGCAACACACGCGTGGTTGAATCGGAGACAAATTGTGCCAGAGTGATGGTCGTTTCCGCACTGTCAAGACCCGCCTTAAAAGTGTCGACTGAGAGCGCCAAACCCTCGCCAAAGAACGGCATGCATGTAGCCAGGAGGTAGCGTTGAAAGTCAGCAACAGACAGCACGTCAGTTGCCGCGGCGGGCGCCGCTAATTCGTCTGCACTGCTTGCCATGCACCAAGAGTGTTTGTCTTGCTCTTTGTTTGCGTGTCAATGTCACGATCTTCCTGAAGGGGAGCAGCTGGAAGAGGTTGTCCCAAGGTTGCACGAGTGTAGAATATAAGACATTTTGGTGAGGGATAATATCGCAATACTTGTTATACTGGATTGGATAAAGTTTGCACTTTTTGATACAAAGATACAGGATATCAAAAAATACCTACGATCATCGCATGTACCGCTAGATTTGATATTTTTTTTAACTAACCATTATATAAAGTTCCTGTATCACGACGGGATTATGTCGTTTAAAGGGACCGTCGCAAAGCGCGGGAAAATGCTGATGATGTTTTATAAACGTCGTGAGCGGAGAAAAGAGCAATCAGAAACTCGTATTTAGTTATATACGCTTCGTGATTACAGCGCTAAACAAATGCTGAAAGAAAGAGAGAGAAATAACTGCATAGCTGCCTGCTCAAACGACGATTCGTGATTGCCTCTACAAAGGCATTCGCTTCTTGTTCTGCTTGTTAATGAGGTTCTTGTGAATGTGCGGAATGACACCACCACCAGCAATCGTGGCCTTTATCAACGTGTCTAACTCCTCATCTCCACGGATAGCAAGTTGCAAATGGCGTGGTGTAATACGCTTCACTTTGAGATCCTTGGAAGCATTGCCCGCTAGCTCCAGTACCTCAGCAGTCAGATACTCCATGATGGCGGCAGCGTACACGGCCGCAGTGGCGCCCACACGTTGATTGTTAGCTACGCGCTTCTTCAGGAAACGATGGATACGACCCACGGGAAACTACAAGAGAATAGAAAGACAAGTGAGCAAGCGGCTACGTGTTGGGTGTGCTGGTGTTTTAGTACCTGAAGACCAGCGCGTTGAGATCGCGACTGCGGCGCTCGCTTGGACGTCACTCCCTTGCCGCCTTTACCTCCTTTACCCCCTTTACCGATACCTGACTATAGAGAATTCGAAACACATTAGTCTTATCGTATAGTAATTGCAGTACATTACTATCCACTACGCACCATAATTGCTTAATCTGCTATGATTTCGAAAAGGCTTTGACCCTAAAGTAAAGGATTTTTTCCAATCACATGACGAGATATACAAACGCCAAATATAATGTGTGATTTGAACAAAATAATATAAAGTTTAAGAGTATAGTTTTTATCTGACGATAAGTACTATTTATCAGATCGTGATCTGTGTCGCGATGCCGTCCAGCTCACGCTCATGGATTGCAGTCCCATGTGAGAACCCATCAGCAGCACCTTGTCATCGTTCACTACACGTTTGTGCCGTCCGCAAAGACTCGCTGTACGTCTTTGGAGGTGAGTCATAAAGATTAATTTTTCCAGTATCAGGAATCAGTCTTTTTGTACAATTTGGCAATATCAATCTGCTGGCTGAAATACTCTTGCTTTCACTATACAACTAACTAAAGCATTGTATTATGCCATTGTTTTTTTATTGGACTGTCTGTCTGTATGGACACAGGCTATGACGGATCGAGCCGAATCAATGACTTTTATGAATTTAATTTTAATCGTAAACTTTGGTCCGTAGTCTTGGCCATTGGCTCTGCTCCAAGTCCACGGGATCGTCACGTTGCAGTGGTCTATAAGGACTCGCTTTACGTGTTTGCAGGCTTTGACGGTAGTTCGCGTGTCAATGACTTTGTCGAGTACAATTTCTGTACGTTTTAAAAGACAGATTTACTTGCGAATGTCTACTGACAATTGTATTGCCATTGTGCATACAGTAACGCAGAGGTGGAGCAATGTTGTTGTGAATGCGGGACTGCCACCGACGGCTCGACACAGTCATGCTGCTGTGGTGTATGGTTAGTTTTGCAGCCTTTTTTTCACTGACAAGTGTTGTGAATTGATTGTAAATGTGTGCTATGCGGTGGATTTTGTTGGGTTTTAATTGATCAGATAAGTCTATGTACTGTTTTGGAGGATATGATGGTAGCTACAGAAATGATTTTCATGAGTTCAACTTTGGTACGTTCGGCTATTATCCATTGTTGATGCTATGGAAAATAACGGTTTGTCAACTACAAGCTAATTTTTTTGACTTTTTTCTCTTCTCATTTGTCATAGAATCTAAGACGTGGGCACTAGTGACAGCAACCGGACGTGTACCTAGACCTCGGTGAGCTTGACCGGAATCGTTTTGACGAAGAATCTAGACTAACGGCGGTGAGCTGTTGCTCCGCCAGGTATCGGTCATCATTGGTGGTACATAAGCACACGTGCGTACTATTTGGCGGCCACGATGGATCTCGCCACCTTAACGATGTTCACGTGTATGACTTCGGTACGGGTATCAGAGAACCTGTATGTTGTTCACTCTTTGTCGCTAACATATGATATTGAACGAAATCTGAATGTTAGATACGCATGTCTGGTCGTTGCTTGCAACGGAGGGGATGGCCCCTATTGCTCGCGATAGCCATGTTGCTGTCATTCACTCCAATTCCATGTATATATTCGGCGGCAGTACGGGCACTGCGGTGAACGATTTCTATAAGCTGAATCTGGGCAAGTGGTCGATATTTGTATCGGCTTTTGATGATATTGCTAACTTGTTGCGTTTGCTTATGCTGGGCTTAAGAGTCGAATACTTGGCAACCAATGCAGTTCAACGGTCAGCCACCGGGACAGCGGTTCTGCCACGTTGGTACTGTTTACGATTCCAGCCTTATCATCTTCGGCGGCTATGATGGAAGTAGTCGGCTGAACGACTTTAAGCAATTCCGTTTTGGCGAGGAAAAGCTTCAGCTTGATATTCCTGAGAGCACACTAATCAGTGATCTAAGGTTGCTGGTAAATAACGACATTATGAGTGATGTGACGTTTATCGGTACATATCAGCGAGGTGGATGTTCTTTTGGCAAGGGTATCTCGTCAAAACTGACTACGCCAATTTGTTGTTTATTGTGATTGAATAGTGGAAGGAATTCCTGTTTACGGACACAAGATTCTGTGCATTCGTTGCAGCTACTTTAACGCGATGCTTACGGGAGAGGTATATGCGGATGCTGGCAAAATAAAGGTGAAGTAGATAACTAATGAAGTATGTCGCTGTAGATGCTGGAAAGCCGTGCTCGAGAGATTCAAATCACCGACGTGCGTCGGCCGATCTTCATATCGTTGATGGAGTATTTGTACACAGATTATATAGATGTCGCTGTAGACATTGCGATGGAGCTGTTTGTTACTGCGGATCGGGTACTCATGCGCATCAAATGAATCGAGTAATCCGGCACATGCTAACATGCTTGTCTGTGATAATGTGAAAAGTATGGCGTTGAGCGGTTAAAGCGCATTTGCGAAAGTAAAATGCTCGGATCGTTGTGCGTTGAGAACGCTGCAAGCATTTTGCATGCTGCCGACTTACACAACGCAACAGTGCTGCGAGACCAGTGTGTCACCTACATGCTGCACAACTTTGATGCAGTGACGAAGACCGATGCTTTTGAAGAAATGGGCCGAACCAACGTTGAGTTGGTTTTTGAACTTTTGAAGCGGCGTTAGCACGGAACAATCAGAGACAATCAAAGACAGCGACAAGAGTCTTTTAGTTTGGCAAGCTCTTGGCTAAAGTTGGTAGAATATTTGACTTGCATTCTAAATCCCCAGTTCCCTCATCGACCAAGAGGATGAACGCGAATAGTTCGGTAGTGGTTCTCAACGACGTTGACCTTGTCGCCAATGGAGGTACTGTGGACTTGTGTTCCTTTACTTATTTCAACTCCCATTCCAAGCTCAGCCAATGTTCGTCGCACAAGCGGTTCCTGCTCTTTCCAGATAAGTAGTTCCCGCGATGCACATGTCCCAGGATCTGCCAGCATAATGGATTTCGACATGGACTTCAGTCGCTCTACAAGCGGTCGTTCCCATACATCTATGGCGTGGGCGAGGAAGCGATCAACATGCAGGCGTGGGAATGGGATAGCACCAGGTGCACGCTCTGTCGCAGGATTAATGCCGTGGAAGTCTGAGCCACCCATCTAAAAACAAACAACAAATAGCACAAACGTTAGTTTATGCTGGTAGCATAGTGCCTATTCAGGGTCATGACGTACCCTCAGCAAGCCAGATTCCTTCGCCAAAGCGCCATACATGTCAATTTTATTCACATCATGATAAACTTCAATGCCCTATGTAGTCATATAACAAAACACCATCAATTGCCACGTTTGTGATCTTGAAGTAGCATCGTGATCACAGCGTACGTGAATGCCGAGCTTAGCCAACTTTGGAACTAGCGTCATCGGATCCTGTTGCGAGCGATTACACCACATTAGAATCCCTTAATTAATCATCCGATTGTGGCAATTCCTACCTTGCAGCACCAGGGATGAGCGAGAACAGAGATTCCACCAGCACTAGCAATAAGCTTAATAGCTTCTTCAGGTGGAAAATGCGCACCCTAGTTACACATCCAGGCAAAAGCATTAATAGTGATCCAAATAACATTGCACAAAAAGATTAGAACTTCAAGTACCTCGACGTATGCAGGACCATCGTTATGCAGATATCGAGCAAATGCCTGACGGAAATCAACAACATGACCTGCTTCTACAAGGGCTTCAGCCACGTGTGGTCTGCCTGGTGCTGCTTCTCCAGCAATTTCCAACACTCGTTCCCATTCAAGTTTAATGCCCATCGTCTCCTACACTCAAATAAAAAATGTCGATGATTTATTTTCTCGCGGTAACAATTCCACCATCACATCTCACCAGCTTCTTGAGCATTCCCTTGCCACGTTTGTGTCGTGCTGTGCGGATCTTTAGCAACTGCTTATCCAGCTCAGCACTGTTCGATCCTGGATAAAAGTAGCCTAAAATATGGAGATTCTCGCCACCTTTGACTTCGGCACTGATTTCGACACCTGGAAACACCAATACGCCCAGCTTTTGCGCTGCAGCAATAGCCTCACTCACACCGGCCATTGTGTCATGATCCGTAATTGACATGTACATCACACCATTCGTCGCAGCCTTGGCAATTACTTCACTAGGCTTGAATTTCCCATCACTGCATACACTACAACATACCACAGACAGCATTCCAGTGTGGACCACACCACCATTTTTCAGCTCCCAATAACTTGCAAACCATCTGTTTCATGTCGCACCTATGCAAATGAAAGTCGCCACATGCTGCATCCCCTGCATTAGGAACCGCGTCATTGTGATCATTGGATGGGAACATGGCGTCACTCAGAGCTTCAAATGTTGTTGTATCAAGTACTGGGCTTGTAGAATCAGCAAGTGAACACTTACGACTGAAATTTGCCTGTAAATTCACAGGCTTGCGTCTCCCACTTTTCTTGACCTTTTTCTTTTTCCGATGACTGCTTGACGACGCAGTCACCATTGCAGAATGCATGTCACCCAGTAATTATGACATATCTATTATTACAGGTCCATCAATTAAATATGTCATACATATTCAATTAGAAAGGTCACTCTCCTGTCAAAAATACAAGAGTGATGGTCGTTGGTTGCGAGCCACCGCATTATAAAGCCACTTTAGATCAATCCGACCAAAGGACGGACCATGTTGCGCTCGAGTCTGCGTCATGCCGCGCAGTCTCATCGACTGCTGCGTTTCACAGGGAGAAATGCGTCTCCTCATGCTCAAGCTCTTACTCGTATCGCTCCTTTTCACAACGATCTCTCCCGCTTCTCGTCACCTCATCAGACATCGTCTTCTTTGACGCTTCCATTGCTTTCGCAGTACTCATTACTGCAGTACAAGACTCAATTGCGTGGATTTGCTTCGTTACCGACAAAGTCATCGACATGTTCAACAAATGCATCTCCTACACCTGCTGAAGCAGCTGCGCTCAAGAAGAAAATTGCGGCTGCACGACGTCGTCGCAGTAAAATTCGCGTTCAGGAAGAAATGCTCGAGTCTGCACTGGAAAAAGGCGGCGAACGACGAATGATTCGGGTCCAAGATGTGGAGAAGGAACTGCCAAAGATGCCGGAACGTGCAGTCTCGCTGCTTAAACGCACACCGCAGCTGACGATGAAGGGAATTAAAGCTTTGGCTCATGCATTACAAGTTCTAGTGACGGACCCAGCAGCAGTCAAAGTGTGGCTTATTAAGATGAAGAGTAAAGTAAAACATGAGCTGGATCATTACTGGCTCGGAACAAAACTGCTGTATGCAGACGTGTCGACGTCGACGCGTATCTTGCGTCGTCTATTGAAAGGCAATGCACTATCACGTCGTGAACGCAAGCAACTGCAACGTACAGTGGCAGATTTACTCCGTCTTGTGCCGTTCGCATTTTTCGTGGTCGTGCCGTTTATGGAATTATTGCTTCCTGTGGCATTGAAAATGTTTCCTAACATGCTGCCGAGCACGTACAAAGACTCGTTCCAGCGTGAAGAAGACATGAAACGTCAATTGCAGCTACGTGTGGCACTGGCTGGTTTTTTGCAGGATACGGTGAAGGAGATCATGCAGGACACACGCGATACGGAAGGTGTATCCGAGGAACGCAAAGCTACTGCGAGTGAGGTCATGAATTTCGTGGAACGTGCGCAGCGTGGTGAGCCTTTGACATCGGAAGAAACACTTCAGGTCGCAAAGTTGTTTAATGATGAATTAATGTTGGACAACATCTCGAGACCGCAGCTTGTGGGTATGTGCCGGTTTATGGGTGTACAGCCGTACGGTAATGACAACCTACTACGTTTTCAGCTGCGTAACCGTATTCGTCAGCTGAAAAAGGACGACCAGGACATTATTTGGGAAGGTCTCGACTCGCTTGACAAGGAGGAGCTGCAAATGGCCTGTATGGAGCGCGGCATGCGCGCGACGGGACTGACCAAGGCTGGCTACGTTCGTCAAATGCGCCAGTGGCTTGACCTGTCTATAAATAAGAACGTGCCGGCGTCACTGCTCATCATGTCACGGGCGCTGAACATTACTGCTACAGACAACTTGGAAGAGGCGCTTGCTACTTCAATGTCATCCATGGATGAGGAGGTGGTGACTGAAGTGGCTTTGGCGGCAAATGCGTCCAAGGAGGGAGAAACGGCTGATATGCGTAAGCTGAAGCTCGACAGTATTCGGTATCAGAATGAGATGATTGCGGACGAAGAGAAGTTCCGTGATGAGGCTCAGAAGAAGGATAGCGAGGCTCAGAAACAGGCTGAGAGCGAGACTGCTGCAACTCAGGCTGCCGCTGACAAACAGACTGATGTAGAGCAAGTGATAACTGATGTAATTATGGAGAGGGCTCATGCCCAACCGGCTCCAACAGCTTCGGCTTTCTCTGAGACCAAGTTTGACGAGGAAACACCAATGGTGCCCAAGAGTATCGAGAATATCGTGAGTTTAGAGGAGCTAAGTGCTCTTGAGTCGCTTGCGTTTAAGTCGCTGGTAGAGAAAGAGCGTCAAACAGTGAGCCAGCTGAAGCAGACGAAGCATGATATGGACGTTGAGGGGCTGTTGGCGGCTGGCCGTATTGGTGCGCAGGCTACGGAGAACAGAACCGCTGGCCGCATGATGAAAAAGCTTGAGTCCATGCTGTCCAACCTCGAGGTGGAAATTGAGGAGGTTGACCGTCACGTTGGTGACCGTTTGAATATTCTTGATCGCGATAGCGATGGTGTGCTGTCAGCCGAGGAGCTGCGTGATGCTGTTATGACGATCCTGCGCAAGGCCAATATTCAGGAGGATGTGGAATGGGTCATTTCGCAGATTGATGAAGATAATGACGGCAAAAGTACGTTACTTGCAGCTGAAAGGAGTGTAGTTTGTTTGACATTATCAGTTTTAAACTAACATTTATCGTCCTTGATGTCTCATAGTCGCTCTGGAGGAGCTGGTTGCCTGGATTGCAAAGTGTCGCGAAAGTCTAGAAGCTACGGGCCGCATTGCTTTGCAGGAACCGACGGACGCAAGCTCCGAAGCCGCTGCTGCAGCAGAAGCCGAGAAGGTAAAGGCAGATAAGGCAGGGAAGGCGAAGGTCAAACGGGCGAACAGCCGTAAGAAGAAGGACTAGGGGCACATATGCTATCTGGAAACTGATGCGTGTCTTGAGATATCGCAATCCGAGATAGAAATCAAATATTGAATATGCAGCGTGATTGCGACTAAGTCGATGACTGCCAAGTAAACACTGCGAAGAGTAATGTACTTTGAATTGTGCTTCGCTCAAGGAGCGCTCACGAAGCATGGTGCAGCCTTTAAGAATGGTATAGGAAATGTAGCAGAATGAGGTACTTCGTTGGCGCAGTAAGCAACTTTCTTTCATGAAACAAACTACATGTGACCGCCGTGCGTCGAGTTCTTCTTGTCACCTTCAGCTTGTCTTTGACCTCGTGCACCACCTGCTTCATGCGTTCCACAAATAAAAGCGACGATAACAACGAATTGGACATCGACTCGGCGCGTAATATGATGGATGTGTAGTCATCAAGTCCATGGACACCCTCAATACAACAGCTCGTAACTATGACGAGAAGAATTATGTGTTTTGCACTCGCCTATGAACTGCGTGCTCAACATCATCTCTTTTCATTGGTTTAAGGCTCCATCTTTTGCAGCGTCAATGAGCGGGAATCAAATATGTGCCGTGAAGTTTGATTGAAGGACAGTAAGATTACCATTGTTTAGACTACATTTCGGTCACGACAAAGTTGTGCTGGAAAACAATGAAATGACAACTCAACTCAACTCAACTAATCAGAGAAAAAGTTATTGGAAAAACAGAGACTCTACATCTGAAACACCTCGTTATGCTGTCCTTCATTTCCAACAACATCACCACGTTGGATATAAACCCAAACTTCAATTTCCAGCACGTGACTTGTAAGTCGTCCAGCATTTTTCTTCAGCTTCTTGCTCAAAGCGTGCACGTCACACGTTTCGTAATGACTCTTCGTCAAAAAACTCGTATGACGTCCTTCCTACTGACCATCGTCTTTTCGTTGACGCTTTGTCGGCGCTGGTGCTTCGCCGCCGTTTCGAAGGCGCTTTCTTGTCACCGGTCCTTCCTTCTCAACCGATTCCTTTCGCATATGGTCTTCGCGTTCCTTCTTTACAGCATCGTTCTTTTGCATAATGTTAAGCGACCTCTTATAATATATGGCACTTTTCTTCTTTTTCTTAATAGCATCATCGAACAACTTAACTAGAAAGTCGTCGTTAAAGTGCTTCCTTAGCAGGGGGAGTGCTAGCGCTTGTTTTGAAAATTTGCTTTTGCCCTCCTGGCCTTTCATGAACGAGATCCACGAGTTCCACTTTAGGCTTTCAAACATATTGACGCCTTCATCTTTAACCCCAAGAAGCGTAAAGACACGGTCATCAGGATATGTGTTTTTGTGGTCATGCCAGTACAAAATCTGATACGAGGTTAAAATGTCCGCCGTTTCCTTCGCAGCTTCAGTGTTTAGTGCCGCATAAAGCTGTTGTGTTAGCACTCGTTCCTCAAAATGACCCATTAACATCTTAAACAACGGCGGAATAGGGGATTCTACCCTTATTTGCTTGAATAACTCCATCCAGCTCTGGAATAACGGATCCGCCAACAATGCGGCTACATCAACCTTGTCAGCTATTAACATGTTAAAAACTTTCTCATCATGTCCGTTTTTAATCCAATTCTGCAACAGAACAATTTTTTCCACAGTATCGACAGCATTTTTCATAGCTGGGACCTTCTTTGCGGCCGCTAGACGGCTGAGCACCTCTTTGTCACTTGTCTTCATTGTAAGTTTTGAAAGCTCGTCTCCAGCCTTTTGATGCATCTTAGAAGTTAGTTGTTCCAAAGAGTTGACCTGCTCCGGCGAATGGGCGCTCTCGAGCAGGAATTTCACGTCTTCGTCAAATCCATTACCGGCTACCAATGCATCAATCAGTTTTTCAGACTGAGGCCAAAGGCTTGGATTCCACTTTGTTCTTTCTTCGTCACCGCCGTTGATTTCCTCCGTCGTATATGAGCTCGGTCTCAATTGTCGTTTCACTTGCGCGTTTCTCGGTGCATACTGCAGAGCAACGATCATCTTTACCATAGTCTGTAGACTCCATATCAACACAACAACCGTTGCTAGCACCATGTACCAGAAGAGATGCTTTACTTTCTTGATCGAGCAGGCCATTTTTAATGGAGTCAATGCTGCACTGAAGAGCTGGAAGCGAATTACAAAGTGAAGAAGGAACGAACTCTTCTCGTTACTACGAAGAGAGACAATTAATCCGTTTTTATGCAGATGAAATCGACCACTTGATAGCCAGGCAGGCGTTCACTATGTAGCTACGCCTGGTGTCGGCACAGCACAAATAATGACGCTGCGTCGTCTATGTGATGCTGGGCCGACTGTGTCCCGGCACCGCTATCTTAGACATGACGCGAATGCTGCGACAACTGATGGAAATTGTAAGCTCAACTGTTTAGCAAGCGCTTATTGGTTCGAGCTTGTCTTGTTAGGCATTTGGAGGCTTGTTATCAATTCCTCGACTGCAATTCCATTCATGGAAAGTCAGACTCACTACACATCTTCAGATGAACGATGCAACGTCTGTAAACAAAATTCTCATTACATCATCTGCCTATTTTGAAGGAAGAAATGCCGCCGGTACGGGCTGTATCGGAACCGCATTACATACAGAATAGGTAGCAGTTCCAAGCTAGCTCAAATCGACGCAAACATGCTTGAAGAAAAGTTAGTGCTAGCAATTGCATTGGTGGAGCTCGGATAAGAAAACAACAAAGATTTTTGTGCACCGCTGGGGAAATGGAAGTTTTTGTGGACGAGTGGATCGTGAGATTGCACCGCTTTGCAAAGGGTACGATGGAGCTAAAGGTTGAGCCCATTTACGAGACGGTCGTTGTCTTTTTGGACTAGAAAAGTGTCGAGCAATGCGTCGTTGACTTCTTTGGCACTAGTGATGCCTAAAAAGACGCTATCGAGCGATTCGTCCTTGCGGAAGACGCTGGTGACGCCTTGGGGGCGTTCTCACGGACACAAGTTTTCTTCTCTTCGACAATACGACTGCCGAGCTACTGATTAGTTTGGACCTGGCCAAGTTGCAAATTGTCAAGTCCATTACACAGCCTAAGAACGACCCGAGTTGACCATTCCCCTTGACGATTTTCGCGAAGGGCAGTATGTACGTGCTGTATGTATCGAGTTACGCACAGCAGCAGTCGTGGGAATACAAGATTAACCTGCATCGACGTGCAACTCTGATTCCGTAAGCGAAAAACAAGACTACAGGCTTCGGTCGAGAATCGTGCGTGAAATGGTTTGTGTATTGAACGTGAGAAATAGTAACGAGCCGGCTGTGGATGCGCCTGTACGTTACTGGAAGGAAACACGACTGGAGAATGATTTATTGTACTCAGTTCGCAATCTGGACTGCTAGAACGATTTGTCGCGGTACACGCTGTCTGCGTTTGCACAAAACCTCATGTCGGCGAGATAACAGTGTACATCTCGCCTAGATGCTCTACCAGGCTAAGTGATATCAGTTGGCATCTCTGCGTTTGTAACTTGTGCGTGTCCTTCATCGACTTTCTGTTAGCGACGTTGACGAGGGACAACGCAACTTCGGCTGGCTCAAGTGTCGTAGAATTTCCGCATGAGTTCGGAACTTCTTACAGCTGCTCCACAACGAAAGCAACGATGTTCTTGGGCGGATCCATCGCTACCGAGCGCACCTTATATTGAGCGCATTCTTAGAGGTCCTGTAGCGTCGATACATCTCAAAGCCGACGAGATCTGCCCGATCGAGGCGATGCCGTTATCTGCAGCCGCGCATTTTAAGTTGGCTACAATTCTGACGAGGGAGGGGACAACGGAGTTGCAAAAAACATGGCCAGACTTTACCGAGGCTAGTCAAGGCTTGACAGTCAGTGTGAGTAGACTTTTTGCGCTGATCACGTTAGATCACTTTACTGAGGAGTGTCTACATATCCTATCCGTCCTATATCGTAGGCCATTATATTGCAATGGATACAGCAACCTTTTGTTTGTGCATCCTCACCAACTAGCATTGCTTGCATGCTAGCGTCGTCTGCTAGGTAAAACACTCGATTGGAACGATGCACTAGCGGATTTGATCGTGATGATTGCAGGCTCTTCTATTTGCGAGTTGATTCTCTGTTTAAAGTACACACTTCGTTTACTCTGCTACATGGAGATTTGAAGCAGACGAAAGCAAGAGATGTGGACGAGAATAAGCAGGAAGATCACAATGCGAAACGAAATTGAGGTGATAAGTTTGATGAAGCCAGTAAGGAGTATATCTGTTGGACCTGGCAAAAGCCTTTCGATATGAAAACAGCTAACCAAGAAAATACCACAGGGTCTACTTGGTGTTGCAAGTAATCACTTAGTGCAGACGTAAGCACGAGCAAAAGTTGTCAGCAGCTTTGATTACCTTCCGGATTTTGACGAAGACAGTGGTGCCGTACGTGGATATCGTAAACCTTGTGCATCGATAGGTTTGCTGGAATTGATTTCGGTGGTGTCCTTCCGAATTGTGGTGTCTGGAGAAACGATTTCAGTGGCTGACATCGTTTGAATTATGTATGTCTCGGTTGTGTGTCCTAAGAGTCGCAACCCACTTGAATTGGTGACGCCGATAACGTCGTAGCAATGTCACACTTGCTGGACAAACATGGGCATGTAAAACATGTTCTGCCATGTAGACAAGGTCACGTTAGTGCTTCTTTTCGAGCACGCGAAGGTTGCAATACACCGACAAGATGGTCCGGTAGTCAAAAAGCAGCCTCAAGACTTTGCACCCTCGTCAACTGTAGCTCCACGAGGCGTCCGACGGCACTAAGACGCATGGATAACTTCGTTCGAGCCACCAGGAAACAGCGCACAAGTCACTGCATGACGAGAGCGGCAGCGTCAAGATGTATGCTTCTCATGGATATTGCTATGTATGAACTCCTCTTATCTAAAGTCACGTTTTCGTCGGGCGACTTCAAAAACTGCTAGACGGAGTTGCGTGTCGGCGAAGAGATCTCTTAAGCAATAAAATGAGGGTTGGAATCAATTGCCATGAGCAACGCTGATGATGTAACCCACCTTGGGTGACATCACGTAAGTGGCCGAGGTTGGACTGGTTTTCAAGCTATGCAAGAGCAAGTGCTCTGGATGTAGAAGTAGAAAGATTTTCGTGATCGACTTGATTTTCTTGAACGGACAGTCGAAAAGGAGTCACAGGCGTGATTGACAATGCCATCGGCAAGAATGACACGGAAAAGCATGAGAAGGACGACAAACATGCTACCAGTCTTTTTGGTACGAACGATGAGAGGAACATTGGTGGTCTGCTAGGAAAAACGGACGGCCATCATCATCATGGCGGTGGTATTCCCAGCAGCTCTGACACAGTCGAGCAGCTGGTCAAGACGACGTTGCACGACAACCTTAACGTCAGTGCACTGAGTCATCAGATCACAATTGCCCAGAAATCGCTGTCATCGTCGCCGTCTTTCGTAGAGCGTGCTAAGGAGGTGATACATGATGTGAAGGACAAGCTGAAGGGTGACAAGACAAGCCCAACGCACGACGGTCATCACGGCAACAAGCATGTTGTGGACCAGTAAGGAAGGGTATTAGTGTGCACACTAGTAGATTTTGCATCTCGATTACCTAGGCATGTGCTGCAAGAGAACAAGGTGAGGTCAGTGTCACATAAACATCTTTTGCTATGAATAGTCGTTTACGATTTCGAGTGTCCAGCTTTGATGTAAATCGATAGTTGACTAGTACCATTTTATACCAGCTCAGTGTACTTTGAAATGATGATCTGCCATCCCTCGATTGAACACTAAGACAGATGTAATCCATTGACATTCAGCCGCGTCTTAGCAACTAATCGTGCCTTTTTCAAGCGCCTTCAGATGAAGACTTACTCGAAACCCAGTCTCTTCCTAACATTCTCTTCATCATTGACAGGAAGAAAAGATTACTCGATATTCAGTCTCTTCTAAGTATTCTCTTCATCATGGACAGGAAGAGATGATAAAAAACTCTCGTGTTTATTTTGAAGAGCTCCAACACAAACAAGACTCCACGTCTTCTTCATTCTCCAATTTGATTCCAACTTGGTACCCCAGTATTTCCTCACATCAACCTCTAACCACTATGCAGCTTAGCATTATTCTCTTCGTTCTCCTTGGCGCTTATGGAGCCGCCGAAGACGCCTGTCCTCCAGCCGAGATCAAGAAACTTGCTGAGCTTTATGCCAACCCGAACCTACATGAGTGCCAGAAAATCTCGGCCGACTTTTCCATCGCTTCACCTACGGATCCCCAAGTCAAAGCCATGTGTAATTCTGACTCGTGTCGTAAGCTGATCAAAGACGTCCTCGCATTGAAACCTGAAGACTGCTACCTGTCTTTTGCCAAGATGAAAGTCAACGCGTACAAGGTCGCCAGCAGTGTCGATGATGCGTGCATGACTGACATGAAGAAATACAATGAGACCTGGAAGTCTCAACCGGCTCTGAAACCCATCGACGGTGAGCAGTACCGCTACGAGCAAGAAAAGCAAAAATTTGTCAAGGATACCAATGGGACGCACGATGTCAAGATTGATGATGCGCAAGATGAAGACTCGATCGACAGCATGGCGACAGAACCCGTTCCGACGCCAACCACGACGCTCCCGGCGAAGGTCTAAAAAACGCCGAAGAAGCTATAGCAACTTGTCTCAAACTTGTATTCATAAGTGCTTGTACGACATCCGCTGCTTACTTCATTCAAGAAACAGACGCGTTCCAGCGTTGCCATGACTAGATGTATCACCACGTATTGTAATGAACTTCGTAAAATTTGAGTAGTGTCTTTTGCTGGTGAATATGTTAAAGTGCTGACTGCTTCTGATAGATAAGTGCACTGCTAGTTCGTCTGTCTTGTTGTTGCTGCCATTTTGTTTTTACAACAAATCGATGGCGTTCATTGCTACTTCCAGCGCACGAGATACAATTATGGCAAGCAATTGTCTTTGCAATTCCTTATTCCACCGAGATAATGTCGTCAATTGGTGACACCTTCAGTTGCTGAGCAACGGTTGCAACTTCCGAGACGAAAGCTTTTGCGTTCAACCACACGCCTGCAATCGATCTAGGCGCGTGCTCAATCAATTGACTGCGCAACAGTTCATTCTCATATCCCGAGGCTGGGGCTGAATACTTTAATTCTGATGCAGACAGAGCAGAACAGGCGAAAGCTGCGTCGGCTTCAACGACCGACACACTTCCAAGCTGCCAAAGACGTGGGTTTTTCATGTCAACACATGCTGGTACCAAGTTGGCAGCTTGACAATCGACGCTCTGCCAAGTCTTTGACTCACGCATGAGTGCGACACACTTGCTAGCATCAAGCTCGTGCCCCTTAGTTACAGTCCATACTGTAGCCTCCATGCGTTTTGGGGTGAGGTTGTATTGTCTGGTGATGGCATATTCACACCACAGTCTGCCACGCCTGGAAGAGATTCTTCAGTTTAGTATCAATACCACATGTATCACACCGATGTCACGAATAACAACGTTGAGTATCGAAGATGTATTGGTGTTGGACTCGGCCGGATTTGTGTGTGTCTTCAATCAAAGAAGTCAATCAACTTGCGTGAGAGAGGCAACGCAAGTCTCGATCTCGCTACAGCCTTATACATGACGTGCCGACTTCTAGCGGACAAATTGGAGATCACATTTGGTGAACTCATATTGACGTTGATCTCATAAGGCTATCCGGTAGTTTGTCTATTGTAGCAATGGACTCACATCCGAGTACCCCATCGACCTCTACAACTTACATACAGAACGGAAAACGAAGGCGGAGCTTTTCCACGAGATGAAAACGAATCGTTTGACTTGCACCTGCATACAGATGAAAAGACAGCCGTCCTTTTGTTTTACAGCGGGCACTGTAAGATCGACTCATTTAGTTGGTGTCGTAATGACAGCCAACGCCAGTACGTAGTAAACACGGTCGTCAGGTAATTGAGATTGTTACATATCATTTCAAAACGAAACTTGACATGATGGTTGGTGTCACGTACGAAAGGACACTGATATTCTTTATTTGGTTGAGCGCCAGAAGCAAGATGGTAGTTCAGCTCGAGTGCTTTCATACTACGAAGTTTTTGCTGTCTCGTCGCTACGATGAGGAAACAGGAAGAAGAAATAATTCACATAAGCTGAATCGTACAGGTTGTTGTAGATGATGGCTATATGCCTTATCAACACAACGATTCATTTAGATGAAAGAATTGTCAAATATATTTGTGTCTTCCAGGAGGTAACATGAGGAATTTGACAATGTGAGTGATGATGACCCCGTTCGAGAAGCGTGTAACACACCTGGGAGGTGAACGTAATCATATTCTTTGTTGAATGACTTAAAGCTACTACTACCGCTTACCTCTTCCAGAAGTAGATTGGGACATGAGCACAAAATCATTGCATGTCGTTCTTCATTTTTACTCGAGCCATTCTCCGAGCGAGCACTTGCTCCTTTTATGGTGCCACGACGTGCTTGTTGCCGTGATGACCGCCGTGCGTCGGACTTGACTTTTCGCCCTTCAGTTTGTCTTTGACCTCGTGGACCACCTCTTTCACGCGTTCCACGAATGAAGGCGACGGTGACAACGATTTCTCGGCATTTGTGATCTGGTGACTCAGTGCACTGACGTTAAAGTTGTCGTGCAACGTCGTCTTGACTAGCTGCTCGACCGTATCAGAGCTGCTGAAAACGCCGCCGCCGTGGTGGTGGTGGCCGTCCGTTTTCCCGAGCAGACCACCGTCGTGGTTGGCATCCATCGTGCCAAGATGACCGACGTGTTTCTCGTCTATGTTCCTGTGACCCTTACCGAATAGACCTCCTTCCTTTTCATGTTTTTCCTTGTCATTCTTGCCGACGGCATTGTCAATCACGCCTTTAACACCTTTCGATCGTCCGTTCTTCTCGTCATAGTTACGAGCTGTCGTGCTGAGGACGTCCATGGATTTGGCAACAACATCCATCATATTACGCGCCGAGTCGATGTTCAATTCGGACGGTTCCGGATTCTTGTTGATCTGGTGTGCCACGTGCTTCAAGTCGAATGCCATGTCTTTTGCTGTTCGCATGTCATTCCGCATGAACGAGGTGGCCGTGTTGATAAAGTAGTTTCCATGGCGGTTGTCGTAGTCCGAGAGGTTCTTCTTGAGTAGCTTGAGGCACCTGGCAGCATCGTCTGCAGTCTGGTTGAGCACATTTTCGAGCAAGGCGAATTCGCGCTTGACAGTGGCGGTGTGGTCGTTGGACTTCAACATGCTTGCGTGAATTGGTTGATGAAGTGGTGGTGGTGGTAATGGATCAATTTAAAAAGTGTGGGAATCGACTCGTGCGTTTGCTGTCACGTGTTGAAATGGATGAAGACTTTTAAGACATTTCAATCTCATCTTTGTAATGGCTTCGTCTATGAGATGTCGGTCTATTTAAGTTGAGACATGATGTTGAATGTGACGTTGCTATTATTTTTCGTCATGAGTGCTTGTAAGTAGAGACATATTTTGTGATACTCACCGATAAAAAACGATTTTGGTCATTCTATGATCAAACGTACACGAAATCATACTTTTTAGGTTACTTCTTTCTCATTACTTTCAGTTGGATATCGGGTGCGATCGGCAAAAAGATAATATTTCGGGACACGTCTCAAACGCAACTCGCCAGATTTCAGTTTTTGACAAAAATCTGCAGATCAAGAATTGTCCCAAATATTTGGCTGAATTTTTCACCGTCGCGTCTGACCAGCAGCCATTATGTTTTGCAAAAAAAATGAATCAGAAATGGTCACGGCAAACGTAAGACACAAGCATAATCACCACAATTTGCAGCGTGTAGTTTAATTAATTACTTAAACATATGAGCAGGTCCGACTCTGGCATTGCCGCCGAATTCTTCAAGCTCGAGCTAGTTCTAATCCAAACAGCAGATGATGCAATCCAATGCGTGAAGACATTGAAAACCAACCTCTTCGAGTTTGATATCCGTCATAATCTGCACGTTTTTGATACCTCCAAGTTTTATATGAGGGACAGTATCCGTGTGGCAAAAGATGCAGCTTCAGAGCTCAACCATGTGGCCGAACAAATTGCTAGAAGCAAATGCGTGGCTGACTCGGAAATTGCTAAAGCTCGCAATAAGATGAACGCACTCTCTGACGCCATAAAGAGTTTGAAGAAAGCGGCTCGCACCTACGATGAGATGAATGGAAAATCGAGGGGCATCACTCGCATCATCGATAACGTGCTCGTCGGAAAATACGATATCGATAATCAGGAGAACAACATGCCAGGATGTGCTGATACGGTGGAAATAGTGGTGAGGTCGACAGTGCGCAATTCTTTCAAGGGCTTTTCAGCCCTGAAGCATCAAATCTCCACTATCGAGAAGTCTCTATCACCATCACTGGTACAACGCGCGAAAGACGTGGTCGAGGATGTTGTGATTAAGATAAAGGGCGAGTCAGCCCTCCACGAAGCTAAATAAGCGTGTAAACGTGCGACCCGTAACACACGTCGCTTTTCTTAGACGATAAACACTCAAAGAATAAAGTAGTCGTATGAATATAAAGGTGGCTTCACGCCAATACCCCATCGACATCATCAAACGTATTTTTGCCAGCTATTTTTTGTAACTAGTATTTCAGTTACCATAGAAAAAAGACGAATTCTATATTGATACAACGTCACATTCAACATCGTGTCTCAACTTAAATAGACCGACATCTCATAGACGAAGCCATTACAAAGATGAGATTGAAATGTCTTAAAAGTCTTCATCCATTTCAACACGTGACAGCAAACGCACGAGTCGATTCCCACACTTTTTAAATTGATCCATTACCACCACCACCACTTCATCAACCAATTCACGCAAGCATGTTGAAGTCCAACGACCACACCGCCACTGTCAAGCGCGAATTCGCCTTGCTCGAAAATGTGCTCAACCAGACTGCAGACGATGCTGCCAGGTGCCTCAAGCTACTCAAGAAGAACCTCTCGGACTACGACAACCGCCATGGAAACTACTTTATCAACACGGCCACCTCGTTCATGCGGAATGACATGCGAACAGCAAAAGACATGGCATTCGACTTGAAGCACGTGGCACACCAGATCAACAAGAATCCGGAACCGTCCGAATTGAACATCGACTCGGCGCGTAATATGATGGATGTTGTTGCCAAATCCATGGACGTCCTCAGCACGACAGCTCGTAACTATGACGAGAAGAACGGACGATCGAAAGGTGTTAAAGGCGTGATTGACAATGCCGTCGGCAAGAATGACAAGGAAAAACATGAAAAGGAAGGAGGTCTATTCGGTAAGGGTCACAGGAACATAGACGAGAAACACGTCGGTCATCTTGGCACGATGGATGCCAACCACGACGGTGGTCTGCTCGGGAAAACGGACGGCCACCACCACCACGGCGGCGGCGTTTTCAGCAGCTCTGATACGGTCGAGCAGCTAGTCAAGACGACGTTGCACGACAACTTTAACGTCAGTGCACTGAGTCACCAGATCACAAATGCCGAGAAATCGTTGTCACCGTCGCCTTCATTCGTGGAACGCGTGAAAGAGGTGGTCCACGAGGTCAAAGACAAACTGAAGGGCGAAAAGTCAAGTCCGACGCACGGCGGTCATCACGGCAACAAGCACGTCGTGGCACCATAAAAGGAGCAAGTGCTTGCTCGGAGAATGGCTCGAGTAAAAATGAAGAACGACATGCAATGATTTTGTGCTCATGTCCCAATCTACTTCTGGAAGAGGTAAGCGGTAGTAGTAGCTTTAAGTCATTCAACAAAGAATATGATTACGTTCACATCCCAGGTGTGTTACACGCTTCTCGAACGGGGTCATCATCACTCACATTGTCAAATTCCTCATGTTACCTCCTGGAAGACACAAATATATTTGGCAATCCTTTCAAGTTTACATGACACCAACCATCATGTCAAGTTTCGTTTTGAAATGATATGTAACAATCTCAATTACCTGACGACCGTGTTTACTACGTACTGGCGTTGGCTGTCATTACGACACCAACTAAATGAGTCGATCTTACAGTGCCCGCTGTAAAACAAAAGGACGGCTGTCTTTTCATCTGTATGCAGGTGCAAGTCAAACGATTCGTTTTCATCTCGTGGAAAAGCTCCGCCTTCGTTTTCCGTTCTGTATGTAAGTTGTAGAGGTCGATGGGGTACTCGGATGTGAATCTATTGCTACAATAGACAAACTACCGGATAGCCTTATGAGATCAACGTCAATATGAGTTCACCAAATGTGATCTCCAATTTGTCCGCTAGAAGTCGGCACGTCATGTATAAGGCTGTAGCGAGATCGAGACTTGTGTTGCCTCTCTCACGCAAGTTGATTGACTTCTTTGATTGAAGACACACACAAATCCAGCCGAGTCCAACACCAATAAATCTTCGATACTCAACGTTGTTATTCGTGACATCGGTGTGATACATGTGGTATTATTGCCAAACTTATTTGTATCAATACACCATGTATACGTATGATCTAAATTACCTGAGTCTTGGCTAAATTGGTGACGTCACGCGATCAAGCGGTGTCCTTCATCCTCTCCACCTCTATCCACACTTTTCACTATTCTACTCTTCAATGTCATTACTCGCTTAGCATTTTTCACGTCTTAGGCGATAGCAAATGTGTGATCGATCCAAGACCCACTGCGGCTTCTCAAAGTCCTTAACGGTTGCCGACACACATAACAAGTCTGGCTTGTACATACACTTCATGGAAACTTCCACAAAGTCTGGCGCTAAGGCCTGTTTACCTCAACCTCTTAGCGGCTCTACAGAGCTTATTTCTTTTTTAGCAGGGCACCCCACGCCTACTGGGAGTCGACGTTTTCCCTGCCATGCCCATTTTCCGGCTTAGAACGGGGTTACGGCTCTGCCGGTTCTGACGTTGCTTTCGAAACGGACAGCTTGGGTGGAGATGCCTTGTACATGTAACATCTATAAATATTACATTGCTGCTCTGCAGCTTGATCTTCACCTTCAGCATAGCTGAGGCCCATGGGCTCGGCCCTATTAAGTGATCTCGACACATACCCATATTGTAACGGGCTGAAAGTTACACGGTTAGTTAAGTATCCGATACTTAACGAGAAGGCCTAAATGGGTACGACGTATCTTAGACCTGCCACTTGGGTGTGACACATTAATGTGACCCACCCTCGTGAATGTGATATCCATGGATGGATTCACATTCAACGAGGATGACGCCAATTGGAACTGGGCGTCATGGTGACGCTTCAACAGACGTCATCAGCGAGCTTAAATATATTGTAAGCTCGCACGTAAGGATACGCTTCTAAAGAGACGCGTATCCAATCTTTGCATAATTAGCCAATCAGTAGTTAAACTTATATTTAGTTAAAATCTATTATATATAAGTCAGTCTTGAATCTACTAAACATCGCACACTGCGCACGAAAAGCTAAATAAGCTTCTGTGTGTCGTAAGTGTAGCTCTTGTCTTAGCAGTTCGTTGCGCGATTCGCTCCAAAGCGACCGACAACGGTTGGTACAGCGCTTCTTAGCACCCAACACCACCACCACCACTACGCGGAGGTAAGACGGTATAGCCGCTTCCTCGCGCTGCTTAAAGGTGTGCCCGCGTAGTACAGTGACAGATTCTTTACGTAGCACCCATCTACACATATGTACGAAAGCGATCCACTTAAAGATGATTTAGGTATCCAAAGTTACGTTGAGCCCCTCTTCAAGGTCGAAGGTTGGGCACGGAAAGCTTTCCTACTGGGAATTCCAGTGCGGAGTCCTTCCATAATAATGGTCACCCGTACCTCCTCGGGAAGAAATTTCATATGCATAGCAGCGAGAAGAGTTTTGAGCTCATGGGCATAGTCAGATAATTCTTTCCTTCTTTGCCGGGTAGCTAAGAAGCGTGATCGCACGCGATAAGCCTGGTTAAGCGGTGCGAATACTCGGGATATCTGCTGCATTAGCGAATTCTATGTGGGGAACGCGGCGTCTACAGACGCATCAAGGTTAAAGCCCATTCCCTGGACCTGTCATCAAGTTTGGGAATGTCCAAGCCAAAAAGTTGTTGACCAGATCTAAGCATGGCGGTGCTCATTGTCATTTCAACTTCGGCGAATCCAGAAAAGCAGATTTTTCCTTTTTTTGTTTTTCCTCAACGTGTTAACACTTAGGAGAAGAGGTAGAGCCTTTGGCTCTTTATTGGGCATCGGAATGTAGCGCAATGGCATAACCACGATACATGGAATGGAATTGTCGGATCAGCGTGGTTTCGTAGCGCATAAAGGCCTCAACGCGTGCAGTAGGCACTTCCGAGCCTTGGGTCATAAGATGGTCAATCTATTTAACCCCGACCAACGCTGTAGCGCGAAGTCGTTTCGCTTGAAAGAGGTGAGCGATACGCTTCATCCTTGCAAAGGATCTGTCACTTAGACTCAGGTGTAAGATTAACTACAAGTGCTATCAAGTGTGATGTAGTGATTGTCAAAAACGTCTATTGGTGCGACTGTTATTGTAAAAAAAACAATTTTCCGAGGTAGCCATCACAATTGAGCTAATAAATAAAAAATAAGTTCCTTCGTGTTTCGCCTTCGGTTTCAATTGTGGATTTCGCTTAGCTGAATGCCCGCAATTAATTCTCCAGAAGCCTCCCTGAGCTCAACAGCTTCCGTTCCTCACAAATCCTGTGATCTCACATCAAATAGGTACACGCCAGCGCTCTCGCGCTATTAAAGATCACCGGGCGCATCTTACGACCAACTACTCTCAAATCCTGTGTCATAACACCAAAGGGTGAACGCCGGCGCTCTCGCGCCTATACAGGTCATCGGGCGCAGTGTACGCCCATCTACAAAACTTAGCGTGCCCTCGGCAGAGGCCCAACATCTCGTCGTTCGCCGAGACTTTCTTTTGCTAAAGACGCGATCAATGCCCCACCAGGGCCGACTTACATCTTGGCGTTTCCAGCGGTCGATACACCTACAAGCTATGACTCCTCAGGGTTCGACGGCGGTTATAATCCAGCCACATCAGGGACTTATTTAAAACTGCACACGTGTCCATGACTTGTAATATTATGCTCTGTATTCAGTTATTTCTTATTCTACCACAGAGAGCCTTTTAAATGGCTCTGCTATTCCACTATCTCTTCTATACGTTTTTCTAGTGGAATAGACAGACGATGTGGTTATACCGCTATAATGGATTTGACAACTCGACGAGCTAAGACTTGACGACCAAATAGTGACTCGAAGACCGAAATGCGACTAGACGACTAATCATTCACCGACTAAAGACTTTACCTCTGAAAACTCGCTGTGGTTGAATTTTACCATACTATAAAAAATTAAATAAGTGATATTCCTTACATCCTTTTTTTGCTACAGGAATATTCTTTACCTCACACCGGTGTAGCGGGACTACACAGCTCTTAAGTCAGAGTAAGACTTATG